GGTCTCTGTTGCCATCTAGTGGATTACGTGCATTTGCAATCAAATTTAGTAACTTGATGCTTCTTCCATCAGAGGGCTTATAAACACTATGTGCTGGAGTGCCTGGCCAGATACAGTGTGGAGAAGATGCCTTATGCCATCCTACCCAAACATACACCCAGTGGACACAGAAAGGTATTTAAGATTCATTAATGCATTCATTAATTTGTATGTTCTAGCTGACCTACAGTACTTCATAGAGTGGTATCAGCTAAAATCTCATGTTAAACTGACACTTAAAGACAAACTGTGGCTTCATCTGTAGGTGGTGACCCCAGTGGTGTGGAACAAGCCTGATATTGAGAACTCGGTTCCTCTGTGGATCATTATTTTGGCCATTCTGGCTGGTTTACTGCTTCTGGCTCTTCTCATCTACGTCCTATACAAGGTTTGCTGTGAAACAAAGGATTTAAAAAAATGAATGTACTACCACCCTGAAAGATGAATGGAACTGCAGTTAAACTAATCAGGTCTGTGTTAATATCTAATTCCTGCTTTTCTAAAAAATATTTTCTTCTTTTTTTTGGCAGCTTGGCTTCTTCAAGCGATCTCTACCTTATGGAACTGCCATGGAGAAAGCACAACTAAAACCACAGGCTGCCTCTGAGGCGTAAATGACCCGAGTTACCAGAACCACAGTACCTGGCCATGCAGAGAAACAGGACGGAACATGTAGAGTGGATCAGAAAGCAGTTAGGTGAAAGAGAGACCACTGGAACTCCACTGTGCTGCACTAAGAGAAGACAAAAAATCAAATGAATGTTTATTTTATTTTTTATTTATGCCTATTTTGCTGAAAAGTTGAGACTGTTATCTAATAGAACTTTATTCAGTGCCTCCAAGGTGGACAACAAGAAAGCGGCTGCAGAAGAAGCACAGGCTGCCGTCAGCCTGTGGATGCTGTGAGTTGCCTGCTGTTTCCTTTTGTGCATTTGTGTGATAGAAAGTTCTGTTAATACCCCATTAACTTTCTTATTGTGGTGCTAATGATCTGATGTGTTCGCTGCCTCTGACAGAATGTAGCTTGTGGCAGCTTGTGAATTATGCTGCCTGCTTGGGCCTCAAAGAAGTTTTCTGATATGTCCTGAACACATGGTTTTATTGACGGATCACTGAACAAGTTTCAGGTGAAAACTCAGCTATTGCAAAGGAAATATAACATGTCTGGATGCTGAAACCAAACTTGTTTCATAGCTTTTAGCACAAAATTTTATTTAGCTTTTTTTTTTTAACATAAGTCTTGTTCCCCTGGTTCTTGGCCATTGCATGCTGGGATAGGCTCCAGCCCCCCTGCGTCCCTGAACAGGATAAGCGGGCATAGAAAATGCTTGGATGGATGTTTTGTAACTGTTCATAAAAATGATCTCTCTCTGCCTCAGGATGGTGGACAGTGCTGGGTTGAATTGTTTTTGCACTCAAAGGAATCTACTGATATATTTCCAAAGACACCAAAGACTGACTCACTGACTAACCTTCCTTTGAGATCTGATTTTGACTCCTGTCTATGTCCTGTGTGTTCTTGTTCGGAGTTACCAGTGCTGGCATCATCATTCTTGTAGTCGACTGGGGTGGGACTGGAACCACCGCATGCCTGTGGAACCTCACATTAGGCTTGAAGCAGTGTGGTGCTTCTGTCAAAAAAGCAGTGTTCTCCTAAAGAACGGTTTGCTGTCTTTATTCCTGCTCCATTTGTGTTGATCTCATGCAATGTGGAGACCATGTGCAAGCAAATGACTCTCAGGAGAAACCACAGCGTTAAAAGCCACAAGAGATGTGACAATCAGCTTTGTAGCTTTAACAGATCATAGCAGGATCATCACTCTTTATGAGCATGAAGGATCCATTTTCAATTACAGTGTGTATTACTGTGAGATACTGTAGTTTTGATTGTTTTGAGTAAAATCTGTCCATGTTTAGAAAGAGAAGTGGCTGAAGTCACCCCACTACCAAAAGGCCACAGGGACTGAAAGTTGAAATGCTTTGTATTGGTTTCTTTTACTTGTCATTTAATGTGCTTTAAATGTAAATACTTCATGTCAGTGTGTTAGAGTCAGTTGTGTGTGTGTGTGTGTGTGTTTGCTTGCGTGTATACATGTGTGATTTCATGCATATATGCATTTGTATGACTGGTGTATTTATGGACACTTGTTTTGTGTATGAATTAGTTATTACCATTCTCACTGCCTGGTTTATCCCTGTCACCTCTGTAGTTTGAGATCTGTGAGGTTAAGCCATTCTGCATTACTATTGAAATGATAGCCTAAATACAGTCAGTGTCAGGAAGCCTTATCTAACTGCCAGACAATAATTACAATACTTACCTCAGTGGAAAAAAGACTAAGGCTGCCGTCCAGACCTTAGCATCCTGCAGGAAGTCTTGTACCTCGAACACAGGGATAACAACCAGGCACTGGGAGGTCAATGTTCTGTGGAAGTGCAATATTTATATTCCCTCCTTTTAGTATTACAGTGCTTTCTTTTGTTTTATTTGTGACTAAGTTGTGTTAAAGCAGACATATGAGTGGCAAACGCACATAGACCACCTTGTGTGAGGTTCTGGCTTTTCACCAGCTTTCACTAACGTATGAAACAGTTTTATTAAGGATTGTTCCACAGATGTACTCACCACTTCACTGCTAGATGACTATCCTGAACTTGCTGATCTCCAAGCCGCAGCCCGACACAGAAACACCAGCACCTGAATGTGTCTGAGTTCAATTTGGGTTTGTTGACATAGTTTTGAAAATTTATGTGCTCTGCTGTTTCACCTGTCCACCGTTATAAAAACCATGTGTTTCACGTTTGTTTGCCCTCTCGTGGAGGATAGTGATTTACTATTTGTCAAATGGTCCACAAAATCTCATTTTGGTAATTGATTTAAATCCTTTAACATTGTCCACATGAAAATTCTTTACCATCCCATTATTTATAATGACAAGGGATGTATATATATTTTTACTACTTCCTCCATGGTTGCATCAGGAGAAGGCACTGGGTTTGTTCTTTTTTGTTTTTTTCTTGTTGTAGCCCCTGTTCACTCTCCAGGACTTTCAGAAAGAAGCTGTACATATTTATAACAAGGAGAGTGTTGAGTTTATGAAAGCTGATCTGTGTTGAATATTTGTCCCCATATTGGGGAGAACTCTTTTGTCGGGCGGGTGGGGGATGGGGCGTGTTGATCGGCGTCTTTTGACATCAAGTTTTATCTGTTACAGTTTGTACCTTAAATAAAATATTTCTCTTTTTACAATTTCTCATGCTTTCATTGAATACACATAACTGAGAAAATAATTTATTTAGAAAACATCATGTATGAAATGGATGTCAGTTGCCAAAAAAGATCTGTTTAAATACATTAGTCTTTATGTGAAAATACTAGTTTTTTAAAAAAGGACCTAAAGTGATTACCTGTGTTGCATTTAGATCTATGTTCCTGTGACCCTTCACTGTCCACAGCCAGCAAAATACAAAATGATATAAATAATTTTTAGCACTAAACAAAGCCGTACTTTGGCTAACTGTACATAATACAACACTGCCTTTGTGAGAGGACCAGTCTCCAATGTGGTCAACAGGAACGTTTACACACAGTGTCCCACTTACTCCCATGGACCTACAACACCCGTTCTCTGGTTCAGCATTTTACTGTGCACAATGCAATATTAACTCTCTTCTCCATGAATGTAAAGTCTTCTTTAATTAGAATGAATATTCATGGCACTCAGTGATTCTGGCAACAACACCACAGGTCCATCTTTTCAGACAAACGTGGAAGTTTTGTTCATTCAGCTACAACCTGTGTGTTCCGGTGTAGATTTGTACTATAGTTCCACAGTCTTTGCACATTTGCAGGTTGACATCCTATTGTTCTATTGTTCTTGAAAGCTGTGTTAGTTTGCGCTGGTTGTCAATCACCTTCAGGTTCTGAATGTAGCGCTGGACGCTGCCGGGACTCCGCAGGGGACTCCGCAGGGGGAGGGCGTGGTCGGAGTCTGGGTGAGAGGAACAAGTTGCGTTAGACTCTGCATACAGTACATGCACAGTAAATGTTTGTACAAGAAAAGCAGTGAAACAGTGTTCAGGCTGTGGAGCGCATATTGATCAAGATAAAAACTTTGTGATAAATTATCTACCAACCTAAATGGTTGCCACTAGCCACAGTCATTAAGTAAAAAAAACCAACATAAAACTGATTATCGTAAAGCTTTTAGCTTACAGGAACTCCAACAGTTAATGATACAGTAGATGTAACCTACATGTAGACAAGCGAGTAGCAGGCCCTTCCAGAAACATCCGGTCTGCCAGGCCCCTCTGTGGAGATGAAGACACTGCAGAGAAGAAGTTGTTGACTTATCTGACATGTCCTACATGTACCATCCATATACACATGCCTGATATCATCAGTTACATCATCATGCTTGTGATACCTCTTTGACCTTTCCTGAATGTGTTCCCTGTTCAAGGTATGAAGGGTAAAGTGAAATTGGATCACTTACTGTACGGCTGGCTTCTGCACTCTCGAACCATTTTCACTGTCTTGGCAATCATGCGCTGTGACAATGTGAGGAAAAAGGCAACATTTCAGATCAATCGCATACTGAGGAGTTTATATGAAAGGAGAATAACTGAGCTGAGCAATGTTACAAAACTTTTTTGTCTTACCATTTTCTCAAAGTTGACCAATTTGTCTAAATAGCTTGGGTTTCCTTCATGGATAAATGTCATGTCTGGGCATAGACATGAACAGAAAATATGTCACTAATGAGTATCCTGGTGATTTAGTCAGGACAGCCACAGTTTAGACTGCTGCTTGCCATTACCTTTGAGCAGCAGAGGCATGAAGGGGATGTAAGGAGGACTGAGTTTGGCCACAGCCAGTCTGTAGGCCCTGTGGTTGCGTGAAGGATCCTAGCAGGAGGAGAGATGAAACAAATTAACAGGAGATTCTAAAGACTGCTTTTACATGTTATTGGAAACTATAGGAATAAGAGTACATTGAGAGTTTTAGGACAGTTATGAAACTAGCGCAAGTGAGAGTGTAACTTACCATCAGCCTCTCATAAGCACAGTAAATTCTTTTTGTTTTGCTGGGTATTCTCTGTAGTGGACAACAACAAGCATTCCCAGATGTTATTAAGTGGTGACACAACATCCACAACTGTTTACATTTAGGGGTTTCTCACCTCCCAGGTCTTGTACAGCCTCTGTGCTGCACTGTTGCTCAAACCAAATATTACAGCGAAGAATGAATTGAGATTCTTCTGCTCCTTTAACCTGTGACAGAGAGGGAGCATGGCTACAAACAACTACAATAGGTCTCAGACTGACAAAGTGACTTTATAGTAGTAGGTTTTAAGCATTTCTTTCTTATATGCAAATAAGGTTATGAGTCTACAGCCACGCTAGCAGCTCTGTGAGGCTGCACAGCAGTGCTTTGAGTTAACATGTCGATATAAGCAGGTATCATGTTTACCATGGGGTGGTGCAGTGGGTAGCACTGTTGCCTCACAGCAAGGAGGTTCTGGGTTGTTTGTCTACATGTCAGCCCTGTGACAGACTGGCAACCCATCCAGGGTGGACCACGCCTCTCGCCCAGTAACAGCTGGGATTGGTTCCAGTCCCCCGCGACCCTATTCAGGAATAAGCGGTATAGATAATGGATGGATGGATGTTTACCATGTTAGATTAGCATGTTTGCATCCGAGGGAATGTCAAAATGTTAGAAGTTCAAATTGGCATCAGACGATCACCAAAGTTGTCATAGTTAACCCTCTGGACAACATGCATGTACTAGAGTTCATGGTAATCCATACAACTGCTGCTGAAACATTTACATAGAAACAGACAACCACTCATGTTCCACTGGGGACCGTGAATGTCCCCAGTGGTACACTGGCAAACCTACTTTCTCATCAAACCATGGCTGAGGTTTAACGTAACAAACTCTTACACTGCAGCAATCTTGATGAACTTCTTTAGCAGAACTGCTCGTTTCACCAAGTCCTCACAGAGGCACAGCTCAGTCACCACCCAGAACTGCACCTCATTGAAGTGACGGACAAACCGCTCCAAGTTAGCTGTGATGGCACCTGGGAATTTATGCCGCCCAAATATGTAGTAGATGAGCTCCACCTGGGGTGATGGGGACGATGAGTCACAAACCAATGAAATAAATGACAGACTTTGTGAAAAAGAAATCTGGAACTCAAGGAGAGGCCAGCTTTTAACACAGGTGACAATGTGATTTGCTTCAGAAACATGTGAAACATGCAGGAAGTGGAAAGAAAAAGGAAAATGATTTTAACCTCATGCATAGCAGTGAACAGTTCCCAGTCATAATTAGTGAGTTCATTGGCGATTTCTTTAGAGCCCATCTGTTCAAGGACGTCCGCTGTTCCTTGCTCTGGACCCTGCTGCTCCTTCAGAGGCATCTGAGAGACAGAGATAAAAAGAGAAAATTAGCAGAGAGAAGGTTGTGGCAGGGTGTATTTGATAGCTTTATGGACAGGGAAGCTGCTTTGAACAAAACCGCCTCAACTGTTTGCAGCCTAATCAATAACGGAGGAGGGAAGAGGAGTGAAATCTGCTTTTTATCCACAAAAACAAACACAAGATTGGTATGGAAGACACCTGTTCCTCACCAGTTGTTCGATTTGGCTGCTTGTGCAGATGAACAGCCTCTCATTCAGTCCCAAGGCGGTGTACACTGCAGTACCATCCAGCTTTAACTGAGCTCTTTCTGTTTGCAATTCATATATCAAAAACCAATTTTCAGCACAATGAACAGCAGAAAGTTTATAAACAAGACTCAGGCTAGACAGAAAACTGAATTAATCTGTAGCTCTGAACAGTCTCCAACAGTTTACATGAAAAATATCAGCTATGCACATTTGTAAAAACAAATAAATAAAAATGCCATCAATATGAGTCCTACCTCCAGCAGAGTTGATTTTAACCAGGATGTGATCTCTGCCAGTTTTAACTATTGCTGACATCACATCCTGTACAGATGAGTTCACAGGGAGCATCAGAGTGAGGGGTTTGCTGTCTGGACTGTATATCTCATATAACACTGCACAGAGAAGGGACAGAAGTCATAATGTCAAGAGAAGCTGATATGGTGACTGATGACGTGAGCAGTGATGTACGGTAGCGTGTTACTCATAAACAACATCCACAGAGGCTGAACATGGGCTAATGGACGGTAACTGATCTATGATGTAATGTTCTGCAGTTATCCAGATCCAAACAACCTACATATATTGTACAGGATTGGAGTTGGATTTGCTGGTTTACTCACCTTTATCCTGTGCTCTGAATGGCTGTAACCTCCCCACTGGCTCCTCACAGTTTGAAAACCAATCGAATTGCTGGTTCTGTCAATAGTATCAGTCAGTGACATCAAACTGATAAATGGTAGCAGCATTTTCTCATTTAAACTGTATGTCTGATATTAATGTTCAGTTTTCTGCTGTCAATTCAAAACATTTTCCTGTAAAAGCCAAAGCTCGGTGAGGATGCTTACCCTGCTCACTGACTGATATCCGTTCTCCAGCCTGTCATGGCATTAAAAGAGTTAAACACTATGCTGCAATATTTATTTGACTTAACTAAAGAATTTTGTAGAACTGTAGCTGTTTTAAGATACTGCACATAAATAAACCACAATAATAATATTTTTTTTTGGCTGAACAGACGGAAATCCACTGCAACGTCTCTCTTCATCCTCTGTTTCAGCCCAAATACAGGGAAAAAACAGTGTTCATAGAAATATTCCAATACATAATAGCAGAATAAGAATGAATGTAATTAGCATGATCTCGTAATCTCACCTCCAAAAAGTCCAAAGCAATAGGGTCTTCTTTCAGCAGAAGGCCATACAGTGCCACCCACTGGCCAATCAGCTTCACTACCTTCTGCTTGGTGCTCAGACTGTAGGCTGCCTTCTCCTGATCTGAACCCTCAGAGAGCTCTGCCTGGTAGGTGCAGTGATGGTTAAGGTGCATAACACAACAAACCGTACTAAGAAAGAACAAAGAGACAATTACAAGACACTGCATTTGAGCAGGTTGTACTATAGTTTACTTGCAAAAATTAAAAGCTCAAAATCATAAATGCAACAGCAGCTGCAGTAGCAGTGGAAGTATCATTGTTATTCTTATTGACCGTGACAGGATATTGGTGCTGTAGTGCAGCACACAGCTGGCTGGAGGGCATGAAGACCTTATGGGTGAGCAGAAAGTCGCTCATACACGGATCTGCAATAAGACAAACATCACAACAGGACACAGTTGACTAAGTCTGGTCGTGCTGAATAAAATCAGGTAAAAAGCAAGGACATGCCTGCAGGCCCGTACCTATAGCATCATTTCCATTAGAGTCCAACTTTACTGTATCCAGAAGGTGTTCAAGGATTTTCTCGGGCGTTCCTGACATCACTGTGTATCTGCACAGACAGACACATCACAGCAGAAGAGGAGAGAAAAGGAAATTATTATTTTTCTTAACATCAATGTTTCTGCATGCTTTAGTTAGCGCCTCATAATGTAGAGCAGTTCTTCTTTTATAAACACTGCTCAGTATGTTTAGACCCTTTTTAATCACTGCTAATTTAAATTCTTCTTATGATTGCTCATGCAACATTTGTCTTGGGACTACTAGTCTGAGAGTCTCAGCCATATCAGCGACTCTGTGTGGCTTTATTCCAAGTGGCACTGTGAGCTAACTGCCAGCACACCAAATATAATACTGACCGGGCTCCTCAGATAATACATATTGGTAGAGTGGAAAGAACAAGGAAAGATGGATGTAGTGTGTGTAGGTATGACGCCATGAGAGAAACACAGGGTAAGTATGACCTAAAGCAGAGGTCAGTACCAAGTTCATTCACTTTCATGTTTGCTAAAACACTTCATGACTGATAACAAGTCATTCAACAAGGCAGGGCTAAAGTCCATTTCTTTTCTGGCTCCCTGACAACAGTCCATTAATTAGATATTAACTACATTTGACAAAAAGATCTGCATGTTCCTCATTGTGTTATGATGACCAGTGGCTTTTATGTTATCGCCATGATGCATTATCTATTGACACCCTGGTAAAGTGTCTTGGTGATTGTTGTAGTCCTGTTTGTGAAGTGACTGTTTTGTTTCAGAGATGGGTACGTCTGAGTTCCTCACTTGCTGCTGTTTCCCGCGCCCCCCTGCTCGGCTGAGTCAGCGCTCTTCTCCAGCACCAGCACTGTTTTTCCATGTTCCTCCAGGCGCACGGTGTTAGCCTCCACATCCTGAAGAAGAAGGGAAACAAAAATGGGTGAGAAATGCGTCGGTGGATCTGAATTTGTGGTGTGCCTTGGATGCATGTCCATTCTTTCCTACTTTTTAATGTTTTTTATCTAAGGAAAAGGCCACAGTGCCGCATATATACTGTAAAACTGATGTCATCAGACACACCTTGAGGATGCGTATAAAATCCTGTTTATCAACACGGAGAAAATGGCAGTTGTCTTCTCTCAGGATGATGGTGGCGGCACGAGGGGCATCATTCAGCAGCGCTAGCTGCCCAAAGTCCTCACCCTCATGTAGTGTAGTCACCAGCCCCTGTATGCACACGACACTTTCAGCTTTACTGCATTATACTTGGCAACAAGGCATTTCTGAGATTTATTTGTTTTTTAGAACCATAAAATAGACCCACCTTCCCATGTGTGATCACATTGACGGAGCCTTTCCAGATGATGTACCAGGAGGTGCCTTTGTCCCCCTGACTGAACACTATGTCACAAAAAAAGATATTTACACATCTCTACATGAACATGTATGTATGACTGACAAGTGATGACCTTGATGTTATATATGGTTTGGGGATAGAAAACATCCTCTTCTGTTTATCACAAGAACATAATGCAGTTCCACTACACTGTGAAGATGTGTATGTCTCTCTCTGCTACCCAGGTTCAAACATCAACGAAGCTGTCACACTCACACACAGTTCCAGCCTTGGCATGTGATTCAAAGACCAGCACTGCTGCCAGCTCCTTACGCACCTACAGGCACAACAGGGCAAGAAAAGAGGTCTAACTACCCCAATAACATCTGTTTTCATTGTCTTATATACGCCAGTGGTTCTTGGTTCAAACAGTTTAAGAATCAGAGGAACATTGACATATATAGCAGTTTGGCTGATGTGTTGGCAATAAAAAATGATCGTCACAAATGAGCTCAAATGGTAACAACATCACGGGGAAACAACCTGTTTCTAAAAATTAAAAGAATAATTTAAAATGTGTTACAAAAATAACAATAATACAAAAATATCTGATGTGCAGGTGCTGACTGCGACTGACTGAGGTGGAGAGATGAGCAGCAGCCTTGACATGGAGCAGCTCCTCGTAGATGACCTCCAGGTCCTCAGAGCTCCTCTGACTGGGGCTAAACACAGGGAGAGTTGAGACAATATGTGTATGCAGATGCATTTAAACACCTTGCTGAGAGATGGAAGCTTCCTTTCAACTGTTGTCTGAACCTTTAACAAATGTGAAATGACCTTTACTAACTTGGTTATACTACATATACAAAAGGTTTTTATAAAACGATAAAGACTCAACATACTAACCATTTACGTAGAATCATAGTGAGCAGAGCATCGGGACCCAGCTGAGACAGCAGTGATAGTCCTTCCTGCAGCTCGTCCTCTGAGTCCTTCTCATTTGCTATGTGGTTGAGGCCAAACGCAGAGTTCTGGAAGCGGTAGAACTGGGTGTCTTTGTCATGGAAGTTCAACTCATGTTTCACTTGATTAGGGCAGAGGAGGAAAAACAAACACTGAGCTGAATGTGACCAAGACTTTAGACCTGTAGTTACATAGCGATTACATATAACAAACTTTTCTAAACTTAAAGATACTGATTAGTTTAGAAAAAGGAAAGAGAAAGGGAAGCACATTAACAAATATTGACCTTAAGGAGAAAACTCTGGAATGACAAGATAAATGGAAATAAGTGTAAATGCATTCTGAGTGAGCTTCATTTGATTATGAAGCGTTTCTATCCTGATTGGAGCACACTCTTCCAGGACGACAGTGCCCCATTCAAAGCGCGTAAGCGGTTAGTGAACACTTGACTGAGTGAGAACAAATCCCAGACTCAGACGTCGCATTTCAGGCTGCTCACGCTCTTCTGGGAACTTCATGAGTGCTGTCTCAGACATTATCATCAGAATATATTAAAAATACCAAAATATAACAGGACGCTTTGTGGATTTTTATTCCACATTGCCCCACATATCACGTCTTTCATTTTAGCAGCAGGCCAAAGGGTGTTAAGTAAAACTGACAAAAAAAAAAAAAAAAAAAAAAAAAAGATTTGTAAGTTTTTATCTGAAAACTTAAGCCTTTACCATGAACAAGGATTCCTTCATCCACCAAGACCTGCCACATCCCAACTGCCTGGCTTCTTGATTGGAGGCATTCATTTTGTTTCATCAGCCAGTCAACAAGTTCTTTACCAGAACAACACTGCCTGGGAGGGAACGTGGACACATCAGTTCACATGCCGTTTGTAGAGACTGTCACAGTCTCAACATGGAAGCAGTCACACCACCAGAATAGCTACCTGTACGTTTTGAGGTGATACTTTCTGTCTCGGATCAGACCAGGGTTCCTCTCAATCATAACACTATACACTGATCTCGCTGCCTTCACAATGCGATCTGAAAGAAACTTGATGAACATGAAAAAAGATTTTTAGGCAGTTAAACTTTGTCTTTTTTTGTTCTCTTTCTATTGTAGGAATGAACACATGTTGTGTTACTTTTTATGCAGTGATAAAACTGGGTGAGAAAAAGTCTGAGATGGGAGGAGGACATGCAACAAGATGGGCTTATTTACTGAAACAACCGACTTGGCAAGAGAAAGAAGGCTTTGTGTGTGTGTGTGAAACAGAAACAGACAAGATTCTTTGCATGTGTGATGAACATACTGTATGTCAACAGCATGAGTGGAGATTTGTGTGGGCGTCCGAGTGTAATGTGGTGTATCTGTGTGTGTGTGTGTGGGTTGCAGGGAGGTGAGAATGTGTTAAAAATGGCTATGTTCAACTCTCCCACACCTCGCTGGGTTCTCAGCCTCTACAACACTCTCTGTCTGACACACAGTGACTACAAACTTTCTGACCACCCTCTGCGTAGTTCTTTGAACTCCTCTCGATATTTCTTTCCACAGACATTTGTTAGCTATCTTTGTGAGGACACTCAGTGACATAACACATGCCCTAGCCCTAACCTTAACCTTCACAACTAAATGGCCAACCCCCATACTAAACATAACCTAACCCCAGTTTCAACTTGAACCCAACTCTCAAACAGCTCTTTGATGGGGTGTCAGAAAGCGAGGAAGAACACAATGTCCTCACTTTGCCAAAATCAAAATCAGAATTAGGTTTATTCATCACCATCATCATCAACCTTTAGTTATTCAGGAGAAAAAAACAGTTGAGAGCAAGCTCTCATTCCCAGTGGTGCCCTGACTGTACATTGACAATTAACACCATAAAAACAGTCCTATATATATACACACACACATGAATCAAACTGGCCAAGTATGTGGAACAAACAAGGAATCTGACTCACTAGGATCAGGATTAAAATAAATAAATAAATTGCAGACAGCTGATGCAGAAGCAAAGCTTATGTAACTAAAATGGGCTTTGTTTGTGCTGTAATATGACTTTCCAACTTCAGGCCTTTTCATGCTTCATGCTCATATGCTCAAATGGATCAAACTGAATCAAAGTGCCACTCCAGAATATTTACTGTTACAATGATGGAGCAACTTTACCTTGCTCCTCCCATTAGACTCCCCCTCTTTGCTTCTCCTGTACCCGGTCCTGTGACTTAGACAGTTGGCTGTTTGTTCTAAGGATTACTAAGGTACAGCTGTTTGCCCAGGGTGGTGAAGATTTACAGAGAACTCAAAAATGACCATTTTCCTACATCTTTCCTTGTTGAATGGAGTTGTGGCAATGTAAGGAAGTCAGTGACAGAAGCTACCTGCACTGGCTGCCCAATCTAGTCTTCTGGAATTCACTCAGGATATAACAACCTTTGCTCTTTCACCAAAATGGAGGGCTATAGCACATTCTTGATAGATCCAAGTTCACACAGACCTACTTATTATAGTGTACAACTATAACGAACCTCTGTGGGCAACACTTTGCAATAGACACTTTCCTACTTATTATAGTGTACAACTATAACAAACCTCTGTGGGTAACACTTTGCAGTAGACACTTGAACCTATCATCCCTGTTTCCAGGCCTGACATCATCAGAGTAGATGTGCCCCTAGTCTGCAGTGCCCGATGGAGTTATGTTGTCTAGAGGTCACAAGTCTTCCCAGGGCGGCATTTTTCCCCTGGGACACCCCTAGTCACATTCTCAGGCATGTCAACTCCAAAATATATTTCCTCCATGGGGAAATTTTCCATTACCTAACCTTGTACCAAAGGCCATATTTTACTGAGGGGCCTGGCCCACGCTGCTAAACCTGCCAATCATGTAAACATGCTGAAAAAGGTTCCAGTGACGACCTACATTTTGTTTACTGTCTGCATGTAGGTCACCTAACCTAAGAACTACTGTATATTCTGCAGGTCATTGTTCCAGGTGGGTTGGATTACAGAGCAAACACCTTTCCTACAAGTGCAGCTGTCACACAAAGTACAGAATGTTGTCAGCTAACGCTGATGTATGGACCTCATATAAGGTTTGGATCGACAGCCATGCCCATTTTATTACTAGGGCCTGTTCTGCTGTTGAGCTTATATTACAGTTAAGAGCCTATATTTTAAAAAGTGCGAATCCAAAGTTTCTAATCAACTTGATATTGATTTAGAATTAAATTGTGAATCGTACATGGTCATGTAGTGTCTACCTGGAGAACGGCTGCAGTACAGTTTGCTCAGATACTCTGCAGCAGAGCGGATGCTAACTATGTGAACACGTGTCATTTGACTGGAAACATCTACATCTTTATTAGAACAATCATTTATTATGTGAATCATTTACTATCTGTGTCATCTTTAACTTGAATTTGGTCGTGACTGAAAAAGGTCATAATCTTTTGCAATGTGTGGTTTGGTTTTATTTGTCATGTTGGCTGGAATGATGATGAGTACAGGTGTCTGCTATATGTCTCCTCTGTAGGCGACACCTTTCTCTGTTGTGTACTGTCTCCGTGTCCTTAGAGGTTGTGTTGTGTTAGCAGCAGTGTGAGATATGAACTTAATGCAGAACTTAATCTGTGGACTGCAGATGTTTATGTTTCCCCTTCTTTGTGTGTGACAGAAATATAAGACCACATTTGTGACGACAACATTTTCATTCAAAACATGATGAATATGGGTAAAATGTTTATTCAGGTCTTTGATCGGGGTCATATGGCATCAGTTCACTAATCTTTCAAGCTGTATCTGTAGTTTATGTGGACTTACATCTCTGACCGACATTAGAGGCATGTGGGAAAGTTGCCTTAAGTACAAAAACACATTGTACAATCACAGCACAACTTATGTATCAAATCCATAAAGCCTATAGCTGCAGAGCAGAACCACATCAGCCATGAGTGAAGATCATGTGAGACTTTTCTAGAAGTTGCCTGGAACATGTAAAAAGTTTTTTATACCAGTGAAAAATGTTGTTAAATGCACTAAAAGCCACTAAGCTTGTGTTTAATACAGTGAATTCTGTTTTAGTGTTTTCACATCTCAAGAAAAATTGTACACTTTGCTTAAAGAGTTGGAGCACGATCAAACACAGCTTATTAGAAACTATCTGTCTCGCAGAGTGCCATCAGAATGTATGATGCTCAGGGATGACTTTTCGGATCTGGAGCCAACACTTGCTAGGCAACCAAACAAAGCTCTGAGTTACACCCACCTCCTGCAGACTCAGTTACTTTAACCTCTCTGTCTCCTCTCTCCAGCACAAAACACTGGCACTTGAAAGATCCTCTATTTCTCTTCCTCTCTCATGGTCTGCTCTTTCTGCAAGGGGGAGACCACTGCATCCATCAGGATCCACTTTCCTTGTCAAACCCTGTTATCAGTGTTTTAAACTGCCCCTCCTTGGCATGTTGTTGAAGAAGCTGAGATAAAGCAGAGCGAGGGGCCGGGGCTGGGTGAGGCTCAGGATGGTGGGGAGGGTCGATTGACTGTGGGCCCTGGAGTGCCCTTTAGACTTCTTGTGACTGCTTGCTCCTCTAGGAATGTGTTTTTTAAGACTCGCTTGAGTAGTAATGCAGGATATTATAACAACAAAAGAACAAGTTCAGCAGTTTGAGGGGATGCAACCACTGCAGCTCCAGATAGTAACAGAGGTCAGTACAGGTTAAAGCTGCCAGGAGAGAGAAATCCAGGCTGGTGATATAAAGACTCGCATTCAAAAGCAATGCCAACTGTCAGTAACTGTGTTCAGCTAATTAACAGAGAGACAAGTGCAGAAGTTGAGAAACCTAATTGTCTTGAATAAAAAAGTACATAGAATATCACATTACTTATTAAAAGGTACTAGATAGTTATTAACCCTGCTGACCAAAGCTCCATGAACATTTAGTCAGTCATTAATTATGCTGCAGGACACAATCCATATTTGCTTAAAAGGTAAAACTTAATGAAATGATGTTTTCCCCTGACACTGTCTCTCCTAATGTTCACAAGCAGTTTACATGCACTGGTGAGAACACTGGATTACTGTTGACTGTGGGAAGGTGATGTACCAAAGCATCGTGCACCACACCATGGCATACACACCTGCTTCATAGTGTCCTTTGAATCCAGGGTCTCTGGCAGTGGAGTCTAGGAAAAACAGAAACAGAGACATTATAATAACCAAACATAACTAAAACCTCAGAAACACAGCAGCTAACTTGCTTTAAATTCCACAAGAATTAGCTGCACTGGTCACTAATGATAATCTCAAAGCAGATGCACAAATAATCAGAATTATAGATGAAACAGATTAATAAATAATAATTAATAAACAGATAGAACCAAGCTGGATTTGTCCAGATAAAAAAAATAATTATTTTCTCTTTGTTGGGATAAAGGTCAATACAAATAGATGATCTGAGCCTGCGCTGTTACCATTGTCTCCAACGTGGTGTGGGTGGGTGTCAACAGTGTGTAATAAAGTGGGTGGGAAGAGTGCGTAGCCACACATTCTGTTAAGTAAAAAGGTTGCTTTTAACTGCAGACTATTCCACCTATGATTAAAGCCATCTGAAAAGCCCTGCCATTTAATTTATTTTTTAATTTAATTTATTATACTTTATTAATCACTGTGGGGAAATGTCTTACTGATGGTGTCAGTCGCTGCTGGCCACATTCAAAGATAAATAGACTCCAGCAGTGGCCACATATACAAACACCTAATCACATTTATTTCTAGTGGCTCATTTCCTGCAGCCTGGACTTACAGGAGTAAAACACCATTCCCATGTCTCTACCCTGTCTGCCTAAGTTGGACTTCCTCTTTAATGCTTAGTTTTTTATGTTTTATGAGCCTCTTCTAAGTACCATTGTGTACTTTTATTCCCAAGGCAATTGCTTTCAGTAAATATGTTACAACCTACTGGCTAGGTAGGACCCAGGGTGCAGACACAGACAGAGGGACTAGTTCTGAGTAGATCCTTTAAGGTAACGGGACTAGGAGACTGAGAGGAAAAAAACTAAAAGAGCTCCACCTGACAAGCATAACAAAATACTGACAGGGCTACAACTCAAAGTTCAGTCAGGGAACTAAGAAAATAACTCAAAAGCACAACACTCCAACAAAACTGAAAAGTCCAGAGTCCTCAAGGGAAATGTCCAAAGGCTGCTGGGACAGAACGCAAAGCAGGAGACTTAACCGAGCTACAGGAACAAGGCAAACGAATAGGGTGTAGCAAGTGAATGGAGACAGTAAGTACAGAATGAACCAGCTAGAGGCTGAGAGGAAGGAGGGAGACCAGAGGATAATGAGCAGCGGTGGAAACAATGAACAGTAATTGAGAAATAGGGTAAAGCTGGAGCAGGTGAGGTGACACAAAACCAGGAAATCAAACCAAAATGAAAGCACAAAATAGGAAGCAAGTCCGCAAACCATAACAAAATATCACATGTATATTTTTTATTCAAGGGAATTATCAGGTCAAATAACCTGGTTACAAGGTGTTACGCCTGGACTTTCACAAGACAAGGAAAAATGATATGCATGTGCCACATTTGTGTCAGTAGGGCTGCTCATGTTGCAAGGACAAAATATTTACTGAGGATGAGCTACTTTCTTTGAGCTGCATTGTATGAACAACTTTCAATACTGCAGAGGAAAACAAGACAACTGCTCGTAACGTGTACTCACTTTTTGTTTGAAGTGTCATGAACAGCTTTGAAAACTTTAAACTACACACATCATAAAGCATGACTCGTAGCTGACTAAACTGATCATGCAGCTGTGATCAGCTCTTCGCATCACTGATAAACACCTATGCGGTGTCTCCAGTTCTTCTGCAGGTAAACTTTGTGGCATGTTTTTCTGGCCAGTTACATCATATGATCATTGCCTGAACGGTGTGTTGCCAACAGTTCTAACATTTTCATAAAACGTCATTAATTTCTGTCGTTACTGTGGGTGAACAGCTTGAAGAAACTTTAAGCTTAACGTGTTTTGTTTCTGATCTAAGGATTTTTAACCCAATATGCCTTCATAAAAACACGTGCATCACATAGTTTATCAGTTGAGACCCAACCAAAATGTCCACCCCCTGAGTACATAAGAAACCCAGTGTTCCTCCAGATCTCCAGACAAGCAGACACCATTACAAACCCTTATGAATGTGAGGCATTTTATTCTGCTTTGTCTCCATGTCTATGCAGTGGTATGTTAGAGCCAGAAGCACAGGAGTGCATCTTCTTATGGTGACAGCAAAATGAGCTTGTTTTTGCCCCTGTTTAAGGTATCGGACTGTATGAGCCTCGCATTCAGCTAATGCCTCAGAGCCAGTTTAAATGGGCTCATTGTTGACACTATACAACAATGAAGAGAGAGACTGGATACCATTTTGGGAAACACTGATCTCTTCAAGTCTCTGCAACTTCAGTTAATACCATGCCTAAGTTGCAGCTTACAGTAAATCTTGTTCATAAGGATGATCTCACGTTTTGTGGCAGCATGGTTCCCATCAAAAAAGATGATCATGTGTATAATGCCAAGTCATTCATTCACTTTACAATAGGGTGCTTAAAGTATGTTGTCAACTTGAACTTCTGTAAATCTTGTTAAAACAGCCAGGACATTTCTGTGAAAGTGTTTGTGTACAATTTATCACACGTAAGATAACCTGAATAAACAGACTCAGTGAAAACAGGTTGAACTACTCTTATGACATTTAACAATTGCTCTGGAGCAATTTAAATCCATTATAAGGGACTGAGAACATAGCATGATCACTCATTGCCATTATTCATTTTAAAGTGTACTTGTTTATGCTTTTTAACTCTCTTTTGGTTTGCATTTGACTTTGTACTATCTGGATGTTGTGTTTGCTGAAGTATGTCTCAGTTGTATTTGTCTACATGTGTTATCCCATGTTTAACTGTTTGCTACCCTCTTGGCCAGGCCATTCTTGACAAAGAGATGTCATTCTCAATGAGGCTTACTGGTTAAATAAAGGATAAATAAATGAATAAATGAATAATAAGAATATGTGTGTCACATGTTAAGCTCTGGCTGCTGGGTGTCAGACTTGAAGGCTATATCCAAAACATAATTGTTAGTTATTTACTGTTTATTTGCTCTTTTGGGCTGCGTGATGTAAAGTAATATGCTGCGGTCTAGCTACTAACAGTGGAGAGTTACAGTTTGACATATGATGTTATACTGAAGCCATTTACTGTAAAAGACCTGAAGCACAAGAAATGAAGTGAAAGGGCCTGCGACCTGGAAACACCCACCTCTATTTTGCACATTCTGCTACAAACTCTTTTATAAACTGAATACAGTAGGGGTGTCATAGTGAAGGTGAACAATGGACAATACACTATTTATAACCTGGGGTTAATAAAAACGTTGTGCTTTGTTACCTTCCTGTGTCTCCACACCAGAGCTGCTAAAACAATAGAGAAATCTGCTCTGGACTCCTGGAAACATTCTTGAAATGTCTGCGCACTGCCTTTTTGGGCTACCTAGACTGTGAAGTGCGGTCAACGGAGCCCTTCTACTTTCTTCACCTCTGCTGCAGCTCAGACTTTTCAGCACAAAATGTATTAGATGCAAATTCCTCATATAACGTGGTTGCCACTTTAAGAAAAACTAAGATTTGAAGCCACGCTGCGTCAAAGCAGACACGCTGTAGACACCTTAACTACTAGACGTTTGCATACTAGCGAGTGACATCTACTACAGGCTACAGCAGGAGCTCTTGTTTTGTGTTAGAGCTCAGGCTCAGCTCACTGTAAACATGAACAACAGACCGTGGGGTTCCTCTGCCCTTTCACAAAAATGCTCAAGACATGATGTTCAAAATAATTGTGGTGCATTTGTCATTATTCTCATCATCATCATCTTCTGTGTGCCACCATAGGGCTCCAGTAAAACGTTTCTTAACTGTGCCGCTCAGTTGTTTCTCTTAAGTAAACAATAACGCATCATACCCAGCTGATGCCCCGTATAGTCGGCGTTTCCCCTGAGTAGCGGTCCCGGAACACTTGGTAATGATGACTCCGAAACAGATGCATCTTGACTCAGATCAAAACAATCGACGCGTAACTTTCCCAGTCAGAATATCTGCGCACGGACTCTGCACCTCCTGACATTACTCACGGCGCAGTCGACCCGTCACCCCTTCGTTACTGCACACCGACGACACTGCGACAGCCACAGCTCACATTTTGTCGCATAAATCCAGGTAGGATTCTGTTAAGTCGCTCCTGCATCCAAACCCAAACCTCACCGGACGCGTCTGCCTCACCGAGAACGAGCTGCGTAATGGTCAGACATCCCCATCCCGGCACAGGCGCACTTTGTTGCTGAGTTGTGTGTGTGCGCTCTGTGGCTTTGACAAGGAACTACACAGAATCCTAGGGGAGTCGGCCTCCTCTGGCGTTTTACCGCCTTGATTCATAGAATTTGATTTATTAAGCTTGACGTCGATTTACTTCATGCGTATATGGCAGGTGCAGATTTCACATCTTGCAGGTTATAAAAGCATGTCACTTAACAGGAACATGTAATGAATCTATTTTAGACATAGTCACAGAAATGGCGAACAAAAATATATTTGCAAAAATACAGTTCTTAGCATTAAAAAACACTTCATTACAATGTTTCTTATTAATTTACAGCCTCAGTGACAATCTCCACACAGCCACACACAGCAGGCTCACGGGTTTAAATACATGGCAAGGTGTGACTCTTGACCCAAGACTGGATCGAAGGTATTTAAGGAAGGTATTTAACGTTCCATTCTGGCACAGTGGGCTCCGGTTTGTTCAGTGCCGTTCCTGTTCTTCCTGTTCAGAACAGCCCGCATGAGCTGCAGAACTCTGCCTGAGCACTTATCAGGCTGTCCAGCTGTCTGGTTCAGGTCCTTAGGCACATGGACAAGCAGATAAACTGTTTCGAGGGCAGATGGGAGAACTGCACTGTCTTTTATCAGCTCTTTTGTTCACTTTCAGCTCTCAGTTTGTGCGCAAGTCTTTGTCATTTGCACAGGTGTTAAACTGTTACATACCCACTGGTTTATGGATTCATAAACCTGAAATTATACTGCTGTTTATTTTACCATGCTGCTATAACCTCATCTGTGTCTGCGTCTGTGGTTCACGCCTATTGCCTTTAGGACAGAAGCAGATGACTTACTTCCCCGTTCTCTGATGTACAACGTCTTGGTCGAGAACAGGTGGAATCAACCAGGTTCTCCATAGAGAGGATGGGTCGAATAGTATCTATATGGACAAACAGAGTTTCATTAACAGCTTGGAAAGAAGCAGTAGCTGTTATTAGTCAAAGCAAAGTAAACATATGGAATTTTGAAGCCTGGACAAGGACAAGGGGACTTGGTTTCACTTGATTTCCCATGCACTTCGAGTTTTAACAGGATCATGGTCAACTGTGTCCTGCAGGCTGGGCATGTTACATAAGACCTGTTTAAATCCCAACCATTGTTCCAGTCCAGGACTGCCCTTCCTGTACCGACCTCAGTGTCTGAGTCAGTTTGCTGTAGTTTTCCACAAGACATGAACAAATAAGAACAAACATCCTGTCCTGCTTTCCATGCTTTGGTTTGGTTGTTCCTCGAGCTGAAGAGATGTAGCACAGCAATGCACCGGAGCTGCCTCTTCTGTGCTTTTCTGTTTAACACCAGCACTTGTTGCTCCTTTTGGACATTACTATCCCTATCTTGGAGCTTAGTGTGTGTGGTGATTGAATGATGAAAATCCTAGAGAACACGATTCACTTTGAATCACAACCCTCCTTCACCTCAACTGCACATCAGAAAGCATGTTACACACCTTATATTTTGACGCTACTATCAACATATCTACTCCAATCTCATGGGAATAAACAATGACTTCTTACCAAGTTTGTAGTCATCAGGATGTTCCAGTCAAAGTTGCCCCAAAAACCAGTGTTAAACGTAATCAAACAATCAAATCGTACAGAAAGTACTGTTTGTAGTGCAGTGTTTTTGGTGTGTGTGACTCTCTGTCTCTTCCAAATGCCTCATAGGGAATCTACAATGCAGAAATAAGAATGTTCATGAGGAAGGAATCCAGTTTTACTTCTTATGATTGCCCAAGGGAATGCCAGCATCATGGTTTAGCCAGTATGAAAGAGCACATTGCTACAGTCTATTAATAGTAATCTGACAAAGTGTCTTGATTGTCTTGTGTGCACAACTGCACATCACTGAGGAAAAGGTGGCAGTTTTATTTACTGCATTTATGGCAGTTTAGTCTCAAACATAAAGGTCTTCAGGGCTGCTAATGGGGAAAACATTTCTATTTATCGCCCAGGGATCGAAATGAACGCTCATTAACACCACTGCATTGTTTGATGACTTAGATGTAGATTCAGAGCATGTAAAGATGGCAGATTAAATTCCTTAAATGTAAAACTCCTCAGTGACACAGGTCCCAGGTGACCTTGCTTTGCATAACACTTCACCTCACGTGCTCACCTGGTAAAAACAATGCTGCCCTCTGTTGTGAACTCAGGGGCTCTGCAATCTGCATCAAGTGAAGTGGAAGCTAATGTAAGCCTCAGTCAAATGGTTGTATAAAGCCTGAGAGTAGAAGACACTAAATGAAGGGCTCTCTTTATATATATAAAATACTATATAAATGTAAGTTTTAGTGTTTTAGTTTTTATTTTATTACTCTAATAATATTGTTTGTGTCTGTGTTTCTTTCTCTCTCTTTCTGTATTTATTTATTTATATCTGTATGTGTGTGTGTTTCTATTTAGATCCTCCGGGAATGGGAGTGGGATTTCCTGCAACACATCTACGCCCATGGAATGTGTACTTTGCCAATTGCATGTCTGTTGGCGTGACACACACACACACACACACACCTTTTCCTTCCTCTCTCCTGGCCAGTTAGCAGTGACAGCGAGAGTCATATTTTATCTGTTTGACCCCGTGGTCAAAGGAAGACTAAAGCAGAAGCTGAAGCAGATTTAAGGGGAAAGCATTAAAACAGATGGAGACATTAACTCTAAAACTTGCAAAACCTTCTCTTTGTCAGCACAGATTAACACATGGGCCTCTTGCTGTGTAATCACATGGTGGTATTTACCAAATTAATTCAGTTATAAGTGCTAAAAAGGAACTAATACTGTGACATTGTTTAGAAAATGAATTATCTGACTTTTCCTTTGAACAATTTTGATGCAAAATCATCTGTAAATCTGCTGCTTATAAAATCTTGGCGCACATATAATGATAACTGATCAGACAATCCTACATTTCCATGGGAAACAACAAGAACAATATAAAGTCAATTATCCATCTCGGGACATAAAATATTTATACAGTAGTATCACAAACTAAACAATTTGTCAGTTACATAATTTTGACAAGTGATCTGTAACTTACCAGTGACACACTCTACAATTCTTCACTCCAGTGGCTTCTACACTTTTTTGACTTTTCTGCTTTCCCTTTTCAGCCTTAGCTCCTTTGCTTCATCTGTCCAAGGATGATTTCTCTGTCAGTGCAGTTTATGTGAGTTGTGGGGAGTGTTTCTGGACACAGCTTCCTGTATCTTTCTGATTGGTCATGAATAGAGCACCGCAGAGCACGGCAGACAGAGCAGTGTGTGTCTGAGAGTGTGAAGAACATAAGCAACTGCTCATGCCAGTCTGTGGTTTGATTTTCTTTCATTTTCACAGAAAATGCTGCGGTTATGCACTGTGACATCTTACTGCAGCAGAGCTACAAACAACCACAAGAAGGCTTCAAAGCTCAGTGTCAGAGCAAAGATTTGTGCTTTACATCAAGTGTATCCTTGCTTGACTTGATTGTCAAAATGTAAAACGTTGCTCAGAATAAAATAACAATATTTAGCTTCAGTGATTCATGCAGGAAAATTCAATTCTTGTCTAAAACCATGTAGGCAGGGTTATGTTTTCATGTGAATATTTCCTCTGTAGACAACTTTATTTTACTTTTGCTTTTCAAATTGTACTTGTTTAATATTTGTTAACTACTACTGTCATTATTTCTTTCCAGTTGGCGGTTTGTACTAACACACTGTTCAAAAAATGTTTTTGTGTCTATGCCAAACCTCATTCATTTGTTATCTATACTGCTTATCCTGTAGAGCAGGGGTTCTCAAATGCGAAGTCCAGTCCAAATCCGGACCTGAATAGGTTTCTGTCCACACCATGAATTGTGTCTTATTAAAATTATTGAAAGCACAGTGAAAATGTTGATGTGTAATAATCTGGACCTCAGCTTGGGATGATGTTAACTGACTGGACCTCCTGAGTTTAATTGAAAAGCCCTGCTGTAGAGGGTTGCAGGAGTCAATCCCAGCTGGCACTGGGCGAGAGGCGGGGTCCACCCTGGGCAGGTCACCAGTCTGTCACAGGGCTGACACTTAGAGACAGACAATCATACACACTCACATTCACACCTGGGCATTTTAGTTGCCAATCAACTTAACCTGCATGTGGGACTGTGGGAGGAAGCCTGAGTACCTGGAGAAAATCCACGCAGACACAGGGACAACACAACACACACAGACTCCACATAGAAAGGCCTCGGTCAGCTATGAGGTTCAAACCCTGAACCTTCTTGTTGTGAGCTGGCAGTGAAAACCACTGCATCACTGTGCCACCCTGGCTAAACTTTTCACTCTAAGAATTTATGTAACATCTTTAAAAAAGCAAACAGATTTTAGATATACTGTAAAACTAAACATTTAAACAACAAATGCTTTCACAATGAGCTGCCAATGACCTTTGTGTAATACAGACTGTAAAAATGCATACCCTTACCTACTGCACAGTAGTGTGCAAAGCTCCTAGGCACTTTAGATGTTTAGATTCCCTATGCATTGCCATTATTCAAGATTCAAGATTTTTATTTTCCATTTATGCATAAACAGACAGTTTAGGCATATAGGAATAGTCAGGTAAGGAGTAAAAAGCCAGAAAGAACACTTAGTCTTAAAATAACTACATAAGGGCAAGGACTCTCACCTATGGTCATGAACTTTGGGTCATGACCGAAAGGGCAAGATCCCGGATACAGGTGGCCGAAATGAGCTTTCTCTGCAGGGCGGCCGGGCTCACCCTTAGAGATAGGGTGAGGAGCTCGGTCACCCGGGAGGAGCTCAGAGTAGAACCGCTGCTCCTCCACATCAAGAGGAGCCAACTGAGGTGGCTCGGGCATCTGTTTCGGATGCCTCCTGGGTGCCTTCCTAGGGAGGTGTTCCGGGCATGTCCCACCGGGAGGAGGCCCCGGGGAAGACCCAGGACATGCTGGAGGGACTATGTCTCTCGGCTGGCCTGGGAACGCCTCAGCATTCCTCCGGAGGAGCTGGAGGAAGTGTCTGGAGAGAGGGAAGTCTGGGCATCTTTGCTTAGACTGCTGCCCCTGCGACCCGGTCCCGGATAAGCGGAGGAAGATGGATGGGTGGATGGACAAAAGGGCAACAAAGTATTACAACACAATACACAAAAATAGGCTCATGACCTCTGACTGGTCCTAAATTCATTCTGCAGCATCAATGACCCAAAAACATACAGTCAGAGACACAGAGAACTACCATCAGTAACAAGAAGAACAAGGAGTCCTGGTGGAGAGAGTCCTGATCTCAACAACATAGAAAAGACATAAGACACTGAGACAGTAATCCACAGAAAAACTGTGGCAAGGTCTCCAAGCTACCTGTCAAGTAGCTTTGCAAAACTGTGTGCAAGTGTAGCTAGGGTGCTGGTGGTAGTCACACCAAATAGCCTATCAACGGCCTCCAGAGGCCTCCAGAGGCCGTTTCTGTTTACTGCACTTAGTATGAATTTATTTGATAATTGAAAACTATGCATGTTGTTATTTTTGAAAGCATCATCACTCTACATTAAGTATCTAAAATCTTTGCATGATAAAGACCAAGTAACTTAAGTATTTTAATATTTTTGGCATCAGAGGTCTAAAATGACAGTTTCTTTTTTCTCCACTAGGGGCGGTGCTTTGGTTAGTAGGGGGTTTCCTCTGTGCAAAGATATTTGAAGTATAAGTGATAGATAAGTTGCAGCAAAGTGTTAAAAAAAACACCCCGAGATATTAGGGTTTTTTTGCACAGTCAGAAGCTTGTATGTTCGGTATTTCATAACAGTGAGATAGTTCTATATATAAATAACATCGAAGAAATGTATTTCTTAACGATATATTTTGTCATCGACTGAAGACGTGGATCCAGGCTGGTTGTGTTTTCTCGTTCATAGCATGCTATCTTTGCGGTGCCTATCAGATAAACAATTGTCTTGATATTTTTAGCTGCCTGTTAGCTGGAAATCTAAATCGTTGCGACGCTTTTTAGATTGTTGTTTACGGCACAGCAGCCGGTGATTATCTTGCTATTTCGAAAGCTAGTTTTTCTGACAGTGATAATTGTCGCTTTCCATGGTTGTTCAGCCGAGGGGAATTTTCCTGTCGTTACTAGCTAGGACATTACATAATGTGGCAGTAAGCTGTTGATGTAGCTAGCACCACCAGCCTGTTTGTTAAAAAATCAGTCTTTACCTGCCGCACCTGTCACAAACGTTTGGGTAGCAGCAGTAGTATCTTACAATGGGAATCAATAGGGTCTACCTTAGCATAGCTTATGCTACTTTCGGTACTGTGGTTGGATTTTCGGCTTTCTTGGTCTGGAATATCGCGTTTAAACAGCCATGGACAGCGGCCATGGGAGGCCTCTCAGGTATGTACCCTACTGTAGTATTAAATATGTGTGTGCTTATTAAATAATTGTGTGATTGACTGTCTATTTTGCGTGGTGTGGAAACATTTCCAGTATCTGAGGCTGCCCATTCCTTACACAAGGCCTACACCATACCGCACCATTATCATATCATATCATATCATAGGTGTTTGTATTGTTTGTCTCTAGTGTCATTGGACTCATTGCAGCACTTCATTTGCTCTCAGTATCTGTCCAGTGGACTTTTTTTGCCGTGTTAGCCGCCTAATGGTATAATATAGGTTACAGTTGTGATTAGATACGAAGCCTTTCTCCATACATCACTTTTATGCATTCCTTCACTTTTAGTAGATGGACCTCCATATAGCCTGACTAATATTTTTGAAGCTGTATTAACGGTTTAGAGTTTAACAGATCTGATAACTATGTATCAGCAAATAGTTATTTCTGAAAAGATAAAATATGACATTAGTGTACTATATATAATAACATAACTATCTAGTTATGGGTCCTTTAGATTGTGACCAAGACACTCACTCATAGAAACATTTTACAATTTATAAATCAATTCTCTGGGTGACATACTGTGTAATGGAGATGCTAAATACCTACCGATGGACTATATCTATAATAAGCTAATACTGACTGATTTATCTGTCTAGCTGTGTAGAGTCAGAGGTAAAATGGTTAGAAGGTAATCTGTTAATGGATTGACAGTAAAATGGGTGGCAGCTATTTTTAAATGTCTAATAATTGAAACATTTCTTCAAACCAAACTTTTTTTACTTCCAGCTTCTCATTTAAGCCCGTTGTTCCTTTTATTAGATAGTCAACTGAAGGTTTTTAGATTTTATAGGGATGTTTGTGGGGAAGCGACCAATTTAAAGATTGGGAAAATTGAGTGCTAGGGAATCATGATGAGGATTTGTCATGATTTTCTAACATATTACGTGATTAATACATATATTTTAAGCAATTAATTAAGGCAATAATTGGCAGATTAATAAAACAAATTAAGTTCATTAACTCCAGTTTCAGTTATTTGGATATACTTTCTTAGTTTTAAAATCAGTGAAAGTGTGTGTGTGTGTGTGTGTGCTTGTCTCTTTGGACAGGAGTCTTAGCGTTCTGGGCTCTGGTGACACACATCATGTACCTGCAGGACTACTGGCGCACCTGGCTCAAAGGACTCAGGTTCTTCATCGTTGTTGGTGTGGTCTTCTCAGCTTTGGCAGTGGCTGCCTTCATCACCTTCCTAACTCTTGCCATCACAAAGAAGCAATGTAATCCTCCTGCTACTGTTGCTAGTCTATATATTATGGTTCAGTATAAGAGAAACTATTGATTATTAATAACTCTTATGCTTTTGAGTCAGAGGAATGATTTCCTAATGCAAGTCGCGCTCTTTGTCCCACAGCCTTTGCTGACCCGACCAGCCTCTACCTCTCCTGTGTGTGGAGCTTCCTGACTCTCAAATGGTCCTTCCTCTTGGCCTTGTACTCGTACAGATATCGGCAGGAGTTTGCAGACATCAGCATCCTCAGCGATTTCTAGTCAGTACTGATTTTATAGACTGTGATGGACTTTGCGGGGTCTTAGCCTGGCAGCAGGAGCTGCTGGAAGAGCTTTTGTAACATAGAAGAGGAAAACCACACATGGAGATGCACCTGCTTAACACGCTCTGTATTTGTATTGTAACTTGTTCTCCTACTTTTAATGACCCACATTCTATATTCCTGTAAGTCTAAACCCCAGAAGACTGGAATGAACTGCTTGAGACTATTTATGAAGAGACATTCAAATGGATTATTAGATAGGTTTTCTCTTGGGATTGTTGAATCTTAAAGCAACTAATGTGTATATACAGTAAGGGAGTCCCTGCAATAACAGGCTTTTCATCTCATGATTCATTGCTAAAATGAAAGTGAAGATAGTTTCCAAGCTTAAATCTCACAAGTAAAACTAAAACTAAAACTGCCTATCTAAAGCCACCCTGCTAATACTAGCATATGGTGGAGTGCTTGATTGATTTTACTCAAATGATCTTTTTCATAGTAACAGTTAGGAAAGACAATGTTGAGTCATTAGCTGTGTCCCAATTCAGGGGATGCATCCTTCGAAGGCTGCATTTGAAGATCGATGGTGTCGTAGCAATGCGACAAAGTCACCCCATTTCAAAGGCTCCTACAAATGCGGTTGACAGATGCTTCCTTCTTTTGCCGAGTAAGGCTCGAACTGGTGGATCCTTGGTGGCCCACCCTTTGTGTGCCCTCATGTGTGTTCATTCATTCACCATTGAGGTCCTAAACTGACACTCTTATGGAAACTTAACTGAAATGTGAGTCGTGTGTACAAGACTAACAACAATAATGTCGTTTGTGCAATAGTCAGATCATGCAGTTCCTTCAAAACCTGCTCAGTTACAATGAGTTCCTTCCAGCCTGGCTTGAACAGATGCTTCTCCTTAGATGTCCAGCAAATCTGAAATGTCCTTGTGTCTCCACTGACCCCTACCGCTGTTGTTGCTCTCATGTTACTGGGGCATGAGAGGCTGTCTCTGAATGATGATGACAGGTAATATGTGCAGAGGAGTGAGAAGGTAAAGATACTCTACCGAATTTCTTTTCAGCCACTAGAGTATGGATTGACAGTTGGTAGCCCCCGGGCTACATCTGTCTCATGAAGCCTTCCATCCAGCCCGCAGTATATTAATGAAATCAAGAAATATAAGGAGGAAAAGATGCTTTCTGCTATTTAGAATATCTAACATTTTTTATTCCAAAACACCTAAAACAATTGAGATGGAAATAATTTTATTAGGAATGATTTACTAACCCTAAATATGTTCAACTCGTGAGTTCTAAACACGTTATAAATCCATCTGTCGTATAATTAGCAAGTAGCCTACACGCCCTGATGTGGGACTCAGGTACAACTGATCTGAGTTATGTGGAGGAGGGGAAACAATATTCAGGCCACTTCAGCAGGTAATGGCAATGTAGCCTTAGTGTCTGCAAAGTTAGTCTTTTATGTCCATTCATCATTGGTTCAAAAGCAGTCTGAGAAAGCAGTTTTTAATTCAGCCAATGATTTGAGTAATTGTAGTCTCATTTAGTTTTTTTAAAGAAAGCAGTTTTACTTTGTCATTTCATAAGAACTGATTGGTTGAGTTGTATATCACGCCCAAAGAAAAGGAATTTTGTGGAGTTGGTGCCTTTCATTGTTTGAACCACCAGAGGGAGACATGCTTTTTCTGTTGAGTCCTTTTGGAAATTCTGACATTCCTTTTTGAGAAAACACAAACGGATTTGATAAACGATTGCACTTTAGTGTTGAGATGTTGATGCCATTGTTTTGCACACAAACCCTGTTACAGTGGAACAAAGTCGGATTTACACATTGTAATCTCCTCTGTCTCACCCTTTTTAATGTTGAAATGCACTATGTGTAGCATTTATTTTACATTTAGTATGAATCATGTAAGTCAAGTTAAAACTGTTTTGTAAGTGGTTTAGCTCAAGCTGTAACACATTTATCATAACACATGTAAAATAGTGTTTTCGTTGACGAGAGAATGAATGTGAGGATGTTACATGTATATAGAAACGGAACCAATTAAATATGCTTTTATTGTTGATTACATTGTTGTTTCTTCTGTAATTTTAAAAGATTCAGCAGTTTCTCTACAAGGTTGCATGTTCCAAAGGTTTCTACATTTTCAGTGTTAAGCTCAGCCCAGAAGGTGTAAGGCTCTTTACAGAAACCTGATAAGAGATCGGACAAGTGAGCAATACACATTTGAGCCAGACGCCTGCAGCTGTTGTGATCCGACAGTAAGGTACAGCATTGTGTTTTTAAACTTTCTGTATTAAAGCTTTTTATATTCATACATAATCAGTGCTTCTACACAGACTAATGACATTGGGACTGATGTGTTAGTCATGGATATTCACTGGGTCGTAGGAAGTTTAATGTGCTTTGTAGCGGTTGATATTAGTATGTACTTTAATGTCAGTGGGTGTTAAATGAAATGTTAAAGTTAAATCTTTTATCAGCTCTAGCTTTACATCTAGTTATTCCCTTCTCCCGCACCCTGTATGAAGGTTAACAGTGTACCTGTCATATGTCCATTTGTTCACTCTTAAGGGGTAAACTGTTCATTTTCTTTGGTTCTAAATATGAGAAATGCTAGTTTTAATTCAGAAAATGTCTTTTTTCTGTTTGCAGACCAAGATCACTTGAGGACAGGGTGAACTTGTATGTGCTGTTGTTTACTTGGTGTTCTACCTGGTCAGATATTTTAGCAGTTGGCTGATCCTTTGTCCTTCAAGGTCAGATTAGGGCCTTGCAGTTGTCAAGCTTAATAAGAGGTAAATGAATGGAAACTGAATTTTCAGATTGCATGATTTAATATCAAAATATTGGTTTCGTTTAAAGATAAAATTCAAACTTATTTCAATTCTAATGTTGAAATACTGGTGATGCTGCCTTGATGTAATTATAGTAAAAGGTGTTTGTTATTAGAGAGTTTTCTTTATGGCATTAATACACTTTGATATGCTGTAGCCATGGAGCCGGACCGTCCACGTTATGTGATTGACAGGCCGGCATATAACCTCCCAGACTTCGACAGAGAGTTTGACAAGAAGAGTCGACAGTTCCTTGTTGGAGAGAAAGTAAAAAAACTCTTCAGGTACAGAAAACATGCTGCACAGCCAACATGAACTATGTGTCTTGTTATCACACAACCCTCTGAGAAGCTTTGTGTTGTGGTCAAGCAGCCCCGTGGCTACGACTCAACCCAAAGTTTAGACCTTATGGGCTTTTTCAAACAAAAAGCCTGGAGTTCTTCAAAGAGATTCTCATGTTGTTTTTGTCAGATGCTCTGTGCCTAGACTGAGGGGCTTGTTGTCTAGACATCTGCCTGTACTGAGCTGGCTTCCCAAGTACAAAGCCAAAGACAACCTGCTGTGTGATGTCATCAGCGGGGTCAGTGCTGGAACCATTCAGGTCCCCCAAGGTCAGTCAGCTCTCCTCTCTCTGATGCTTCTGTATCAACAGACAGATGCTTGTTGCTGCAGTAATTATTTCAATGTATATTATAACATGTCCCCCCCCCCATGTCCCTAATAAGCAGTATAGATGATGGATTTATGGTTGTCATCATGGCTTGTTTGTTACACAGAAGTTCTCCTCTTTCCAGGTATGGCATTTGCCCTCCTGGCAAACCTCCCTCCTGTCAACGGTCTGTATTCCTCTTTCTTCCCCCTCATCCCGTATTTCTTCATGGGCACTGCTCACCAGATGGTCCCAGGTAAATCAGAGTGATGTATCTATGATGACTGCAGATGATGATCATTTTCCAGAGCTGCAGTGCAGCAAAGAAAAAAGATGTGAAAACTACTACCTATTTCCAGGTACTTTCGCTGTCCTCAGCATTATGGTGGGAATTGTATGTGTTAGGCTGGCCCCAGAGACAGACTTCGGTCATTTCAATGACACTCTTAATGCTACAGTAGTGGACACAGCCAGGATGAATGACGTTCGTATGGGAATATCTGGAACCCTGGCCTGCCTCACTGCTATCATACAGGTACTTGTACCACTATAGGCTCAGTCTTTTCAAGTGAAATGTGTGGGGTTTAATCTTAAAGCAACACATTGAAGGCTACTTATGTCTGTGCAGATTGGCCTTGGCTTCATGCAGTTTGGGTTTGTAGCCATCTATCTGTCAGAATCCTTCATCAGAGGCTTCATGACTGCCGCAGGATTGCAAATCCTCATCTCAGTGCTCAAGTACATCTTTGGCATCAAAGTACCACCTTATAGTGGCCCACTGGCTGTTGTGTATGTAAGTGACATAGCGATCAAAGAACATCAGATGGCTTTGTAGCTGGTTTGTTAATAAAATGTCATTTTAATTCACAGACTCTTGTGGATATTATACGTGGCCTTCCTGATACAAACATAGCATCATTAGTATTTGCTCTGGTTAGCGGTGTAATCCTGATTGTTGTGAAAGAGCTGAGTGCACGCTATCACCACAGACTACCCTTCCCCATTCCTATGGAGATCATCATTGTAAGTTATATATGAACTGTTGTTTCTCTGAGGACACAAAAGTGCACTTCTTCAGTTGCTGTATAACAGATTTGTGGTGTAGATTGTTTGTGGTGCAAATATACCATATGAATGTGATAATGCTTGATCCATATTCCTGCTCTACACAGGTGGTAGTGGCCACAGCCATCTCAGGCCCTTTGAATCTTCCTAAGATCTATAACATGGATATAGTGGGAGAAATCCCTTTAGGGTAAAGAATATATCTGGATAATCATTAGCACAGACTCGGTACATCTTTACTACTCAGTTTAGATTTTTCTGTCTCTATTTTCCAGATTCCCAGCACCAATCCTGCCTTCAGTGAGTCAGTGGGAAGTCATGTTGAGCACTGCTTTCTCACTCGCAGTAGTGGGATATGTCATCAACTTGGCTATGGGCAGGACACTGGCAGCCAAGCACGGCTATGATGTGGATCCCAACCAGGTAGAAAAACAACACATCTTTTGCTATTTGAAAATGTGTTCAAAGTTTTACTCCATGTTCTAAATACCACATGCATGTTCTTGCATAGGAAATGCTGGCTCTTGGTTGCAGCAATTTCCTCGGCTCCTTTTTTATGATCCACGTGATCTGCTGTGCCCTGTCTGTAACCCTGGCTGTAGACAGTGCTGGAGGAACATCACAGGTGAATGCTTAGTCAAGGCGCTCTAACTGTAATTTAGTCTTGTGTGTAGTTTAATGGAGACCTTTAACATGGAATACAAGAAAATAATACTTCAAACTGTTACCTACCGCCCCTGTGTTGCTGCTCTCTCATAGTTTGCCAGTCTCTGTGTGATGCTGGTTGTAATGGTTACCATGCTCGCACTGGGAGCTTATCTGAAACCACTTCCAAAGGTATGTGGACATAAGAGATGATGCTCACACCTTGAATAATTGATATTAATAGGCATATTAATAGTCCACATTATCTTCCTTTTCCCAGTCGGTGCTCGGAGCCTTAATTGCAGTCAACCTAAAGAACACGCTCCTGCAGCTCTCTGACCCCTACTTCTTATGGAAGAAAAGCAAATTAGACTGTGTAAGTTAAAGCCATGTCTTGGATGGAGCACAATGCAGTGTACTTTTCCCATTTGTTTGTCTCTTATTCTACTCTCTGTTGGCTTCCAGAGCGTGTGGGTTGTGTCATTCTTGGCCACATTCTTTCTGAGCTTGCCTTATGGAGTCGCTATCGGAGTGGGCTTTTCCATCCTGGTAGTAATTTTCAAGACACAGTTGTAAGTAAACTCCATGCAACACATGCTATATTTGAACCAAAAGAATGTAAAAACAATACAGCAGACTTTATATTGATGGATGATCCATTTCAACAATGTGTTCCTCTTAGTCGTAATGGTTCAACTATGGTTCAGATTATGGAGACAAACATCTACAAAAACCCCAAGGTCTACAGTAAGGTGTGACTTTTATTTATTTATTTACATTTTTTGTATTTTTGTAGTTATACATAATTTAAAGGGAGCTACATTAAGTTTTTTTAACTAACTCCACAGGGCATATCAACAACAGGTGTGAAAATAGTGAACTATTGTTCACCGCTCTATTTTGCAAATGCTGAAATATTTCGCCAGAGAGTCATCAAAAAGGTACAGTTAACAATTAACCTCTTTTGCTGTCACTCAGGTTGATGTGGCATGTGAGTGTTTACATAGACATGTTTGTGCCTAGACCGGGCTGGACCCTGGAAAACTCATTCTGGCCAGGCGGAAGTTCTTAGAGAAAGAACAAAGGGAAAAAGTGAAAGAGGAGAAGAAGGACAAGGAGACGAGGAGGAGGAAGCCCAGCTCTTTGGTTATCATGAAGGCCCAGGTGGGATCGAGTGTACAGTACATGATGTATGACACACACGTCATAGCCAGAAACTCATAGTTTTTATATTTCATTATTACTGTTGAGATTTTCTACAAATACAACTTGTGACCTTTTCTGTATGTATTTCTTCTGAACTTAGACCATATCTCAGCTTGAACTGCAAAATGACTTTGATATGAATGATGGAAGTGCCAACAAACCTGAACCTCCCACCAGCTATGTCAACTTCTACTATGGTGACACTGGGCTTGGTGAACAGGTACCTGGCCAAGAGCCACCCAGTCCCCCTGCTGTCAAACTGGAGTTCCAGCCCGTGCCCTTCCACACCCTCATTCTCGATTTGGCAGGGGTCTGCTTCATTGATTTAATGGGCATCAAAGTGCTGATAAAGGTAGTATGCTTGTTTGCAGTGTACATTTTTAAATGTTTATATTTTAGTACATTTAAGGCAACCCATCTAAAGGTACAATGAAAAGATACATTTTACAGATTTCATTCACAAGGATTCTTGAAACTTTTATGAGCCTGAAAAGGTTCTTTTAAATGGAAAGCAAAATGTCTGGGAAGGCTTAACACAAAGGTCCTGATGAAGGCTTTATGTCAAAGTATGTTGGTCTTCTATCTTTGCATTTGCAGTTGCTCAGAACACTGCAAGTGTTGCCAGATGTTTTGCTTTCCAGTTTGTTTTTGCTGTGTTTGTGCATCTTGTCAGTGGGTGAAGCTGCTCCAGTAACTTCTGCTCTATCAAGGTTCTTTTAAATAATAAAAAAAAAAGTTATTTAATGTAATACTACTACAAATAGTCATAATAATATAATCATCATCAAGATAATAAGAGCCAACTTTATAAAGGAACTGTGCCTTATCTCACAGGAAGAGTGGTAGCTAGTAGAAGGGCGTATTCCTCAGGTCATTTAAGAAGCAAAAAGACAGGATCTCTTAAAAAGAAAACACGTAAAGGCTTAAACTGCGATAGGTTATGACATGAACAGTTACAGGTTTGTCAACCGCTGACTGATTATGAAGCCACGTCTGCATTTACATATTTATATTCTCTACTTTTATAACTTTTAAACTTTCACCCAGCATGACCTGAATACATATTTAATCATTTGAATCATGTCACATATGTAATGCCAGTAAAATGTGGTATAATCCATTTAGCATCCTGCTGTTTTACCAGTAAGGGGAACGTTAGCTAGCACTGGCATTAGCCAAACTGCCTTATTTAATTAAACAAAACATCTTTTCCAGAAAGCGAGTAAAGGAATACTTGTGGAGCCAATAAACATGACTATACTTTTATACTGGTTGTTAACTAACCTAGCTTATTTAAATTACAGTAACATTGCAGGGAGCTGTCAGGTCAAAGGACCCCTTAATAATAAAATGGTTCTGTTTTTTCTGCAAATGTTGTTTTGCCACAAAAGCTTATTTGGTTTGGAATATTCAGCCCTGGAGGTACTACCTGAGCCTTTTTAGGGGAGAAACTTTAGCATTGTGGGTAGATACAGTTATGGGTAGTCAATCCTGTTGATGAACGTCTTCTTTCCTCTTTTTCCCCACACAGATGAACTTAAGCTACACTAAGCTGGGCATCAGACTCTACCTGGCTAATGTTCAAGGTAACAGCTTAAATGACTTAAGTCCATTCACATTTGTTGGCTGTACTGAACAGATCAGGAAGAGACCAGGACATTGGTAAAGTACATCTACAAACATCCCCTTTACCCAGTGAGACAGAGGGATGATCCGACTGTAAATGACCGTGACTGATAACTTTAAAGTGTCAAGTCAGAGTTCATCTCTTGCCAAGCAGTATTGTCATTGTTTTGTTTTTCTTTCTTTGACTACCACATGAGTGTCAGTCAAAATCCTAGAGTTTCACTGTGTGGAAGTCCTTGTGTGATATTTCTTGCTGTGTTACCTGCAGCCCAGGTATATGAGGAACTGGAGGCTGGTGGAGCGTTTGAAGATGGCAATATATCCCGCAGTAATCTGTTCCCCTCTGTCCACGATGCCATTCTGTTTGCACAGCACACCTCTGGAGAGAGGCCGGCCTCCCTAAATGTAGGTCCCAATAACCTTAGTACTGGTATACAGATCCTATTTGCAACTTGACACATGCTCTTAAGGTTCCAAGGTAAAGACAGATTAAGAAAAGTAGAAAAGCTAGCCTTATTTTCTAGATAACATATCCTCTTTTTAGGTAAGGCAAGGCAGCTGTATTTATATAGCACATATCATACACAGAGGCAATTCAAAGTGTTTTTTGGAGGTAAGAAAAAACAGTAACAACATTAAAAACTATAAGCATTAAAACCAGTTAAGACTAGCTAAAGATAAAACATTGTTAAAATAAGATAAAATACATACAATGAAAATAAGAACAAAAAATAAAAGGTCCAAAAACAGATATCTAGCAGTTCCAGTGCCGAAAGTACAGCATAGGAACCAGTCAATGAAAGGCTAAGAAAGCAGCAGAGTGTTCAGTTGAGACTTTAAAGTGGCAGAGTTGGGGCACGGTGAAGGTCATCAGGAAGCCGGTTCCACCTGTGTGTAACACAGTAGCTGAAAGCAGCTCCACGCTGTTTGCTTCTGACCTGTGGTTCTGCCAGCTGACTGCTTCCTAAGGATCTCAGAGCCCTGCTGGGTTTGTGTTCTTCAAGGCGATCAGAAATGTGTTTTGGCCCCGTACCACTGAGCAGTTTATAAACTAGCAGAAGGACTTTAAAAATCAATACTGTAGGTAACTGGTAGCCAGTGTAAGGATTTAAGAACAGGAGGGATGTGCTCAGCACAGCTTTCATCTCATTTGGTTCAACAAGGGTAAACAGAAATATCACAGAGGCTTTTGTGACTCAGAGGGCACCACAGTTGTTAAGTGGCACCAAGGTCACACCGTGTGTTGTATGCTATGTGCCTATGCTATGAGCATGGGCAAGCTTTTCAGTCATCTGACAGGATAATGGGGTTTTATACACTCAGTGGCCACGTCATTACACCTGCACCTGTACAGTCTGAAGCCTGTGACGCCTGTAATGTTCAGTTATTTTTGTGCTGGACTGCCTTATATTGAGGGCTGTTTCAGTTGTTCACCTAAAGCATTTTTGGATTCACCATGACCTGGATGAACCTCCGTAGACACTGAGAGGTGTTTCTAATCTTCTGTCAACCTCATATAAGCAGGGGAGGACAAACCATTAGAAATACATCCCTATATAATCTAGTTCAGTACCACGCTACCACTAATTATGACCTTAGCTGAATATGCATCATTCAATGTCAGGAAATACTTAATGTTATAAACTTTGCAAAGGTAAAATATGTGTATGTATTTGTAAAAGACTGTAGAGGTGTACATGAGAAAGTCCAACATTGAATGTAACTAAGAAACAAAATCTCTCATTTGTAAGATTCATGAAAGCAGATTACACATCACCATCTTAAACTGGGAACTAAATAGCTCTTTAAAAACCAGTAATATACAGTATTGAAAGTACCAGTCAGTACCAGTGATGAAACCCTAGGGTGTACAAAGAAGTACATACTGTATTATACTACCACTGGCTTCATTGTATGGGGAGCAAACACATGTATGTGCCAGTTTTACCTTAAATATATATATTTTCATTTTCAGGTCGAAGGCGAGAGACAGGAACTTGCCTTTAACATTAATGAGAAGGATCTGGAGCAGGTACTGTACATGCTACTTTGTCCATTCATGCTGATACAGTATGCCAATTTTTTTAAAATCATGAGCCATTGTTCTGTTTCTCAGAGTTGCTTTACTTGTACAGGAAATGTTTTGAGCGTTGATTGCTGCACTGAAGACGAGCAGAAGAAACATGCCGAAGATACTGCTGATTATTTTCACTGTCATTTATGGAAATTTACTGTGGCCAAAATATGTTCTGTGACTCTCATTGCTGACTCTCAGTTGCCAAAATTAAATGTTTTACTTTGTGGTTGAGCACAGTAATCAGTACTTGACTCAAATGGCAGGGTGGTACTGGTGGTGCTACATGAGACCCCCCCCCAAACAAGTGAGTGCTTAGCAGATAATGAGGGGAAACCTGAGGCGCACTTCACCTGCCCCTCACAATCAATGTGCAGTGAACCTGCTGACTGCGCAGTTGTACAGAAGTGGTCCTGTATTTAACAGAGAGCGTACATGACCACAGCCATGAGGTACAGCCAGCTGAACAGTCTGGTTGGTGAGAAAGGCAAAATACAAATGAAAGAAGGAATACACAGCATTAGCTGTTTTATGTCTTTGTTGTCTTATGAATGCTATTAAACACCACAGTCTCCAGGATTTTCCACAGGCCAGAGCAAAGCTACAACTACCAAAATAACACGCCTAATTGTTGCCAGTTATATCAGCAGAGTGATGGCGCTAAGAGAAATATATGGGCCAACTAACTAGTATTTGTGCAGCAGGTGCTCAAAGGCATGTGGTGTCTAGCCTAGCAGCAGGCTGACAGAGGTGCTGGTACACTTGTGATGCATGAATGGATTTATGAAGCTATTAAGAAATCATCCTAAGGTACTCTGGCACACATCTGCTCCTCTGCTCCCCATCCTCTCTGCAGCAAATTGGCACCACAACTGATTACAAGGTTTCTATGGCCATCAGCTTTAATTTGGAGCTCTGGGAAAGCATCTCATCACTTAATGTGTGTGTAGTTGTGTTTAGTATCATCACCTGCAGGCTCATTCTTCTCCTGTTTTTCTCCCTCATTGTTTTCAGGCTGTCTGTAGAAGCACCTTCCTTGGAACTGATGTAATTAATATGAATGAGGAAAATATTCTGTTTGAAATAATTCGTTGGGCCGCTGTTTGTCACATGGTCATGAGCCGTTATACCACTGTGTCCTGGCTTTTTGGTGTTTGCCGCTGTTTGTCACATGGTCATGAGCCATTATATCACTGTGTCCTGGCTTTTTGGTATTTAAATGTTCAAATGTATGAGAATTGAGAACTTTACTGTCATTTCCCATATTCTATCCTAGTTATACACAAACATATACATACTAATTCTAAGCAGGCTTTGAGTGTGAAGTGTGTCACAGTGACAGGAGTAAGTTTGCTCAATAATAGTATGGAACTGGGACTTGGCTGTTTGCTGATTTCCATTCTTTCAGACAGTTTGAAGTTGAGTGGCTGCTCAGTGGCACTCGGCAGACGCTGATTTAACACCAAAAACACCCTTCTGCTGCTGCACCGACCCATCACTGTCACCGCCCTTTATTACTCGTCAGCCATTTTACCTCTCTCTGCCTGCATCCTCCATTTGCTGCTTTTATTCTTTTCATTTATCTAAACTTATAGTCAACCTGTTTTTAATTTGACCTTCTTGAAACTGTGCCATATAATTACTCGATATCAGTAAAGCTCCCAAAAGCTAGAGAAAATCTCTAACCTTTCGGGAGGTCAAATGATGGTTACGGTGAATTATGAAGCTCTTCTAAGTAAAATCCTTTTTCACATGAGATACCGAAGCCTCTGAATCTTTGTAATTGCAAGTTCACATAAAAATAAATTTTACTCTTTGCATGTTCATTGACCATGATGGTTTAATTAAGAAGGTTCCTTTTAGAAATTCGAGATGGAAAGAGTTATGTATTAAATTTGTTTATGTGCACAGTGGTTTCATACAATGGAGACTAATTGCATGGTGTCAGAGGGTATCTCCTCTCTGAGTCATGAGACCTTGTCATGTACTCTGCTTGCTTTTATGAAGAGCCGCCCCTGAGAAAATATTCAGCTCTGACCTTTCAGAGTCAAGACTTAAATTTGGAGCACTTTAATAAAGAGCCAGGGAGCCAACTTTTATTAAAAGACTGTTGCTCTAATAGGCTGTGGGCATGTAAAAGTCATCGGAGGGAATCAGGATGATAGAGCAACCAAAACCACTTCTGAAAATTTAAATAATGGCAGTTTGACGTTGATCAAGCAGCAGCAGTTGGTACTTTGCATATGCATTTTAAAGGCCTATGTTTGGAGATCTGCTTCATTAACAAACCACTTTGCACCCAGGGAATCATAAATCTTGATCATGCAATGTCAGCAAATTGTCTTTGGACAGGGTTTGTTTACAGAGTTGCTGAGGGCAAATCTGACCAGTGATAGCTGGTATTAATTAATGTTGTGCATTGTTTCATTCCAGTAGTTCCAACAGTAATTAAATGCACCAACAATGGAACATTCTCTGATGATTAATTAAGGCATAAAATTATTGAGTCTGCATCTTTGACTGGAGGATGGTTAATTATTTACAGTTAAATTAAGCCACAACCCCATGTCTGAAGAGAAATACTGCTCAACCTGTTTGCCGTTTTGGTTTTTCTCCTTTCCAGCTTGTAGATGTAATGACTTCTTTCATTTCACGCTGCCATTATTGCATTAAAAATAATCACTATGTTAATTATTTCAAAAGACATTGACCTCTGTGGAATGATATGAACTAATAAGAGCGAGAATTTGAGACTGATGCTGCAGAAAGCTCCAAGTTGCCCATGTTTTTAGGTTTTTAATCCGTTTTGTGAACAAGAAAGGAAATAATTCATTTAAATTGTACAAACGGTCTCATAAACCCAAACTGAAACAGGAAGTTAAACCTCTGGAAAGGTAAACAAATCTGACTTCCTGAATATTCCATCAAAGTGAAGATGGATTTGCATCTGTTGTGTTGAACAGCAATAGAGTGTCATCAGTGTAGCATTTCACCATCCCATCAACTCAATAAACACCAGGTGCTGTTTGCTTTCCTCTCTTCTTATTAGCTAAAATCCACAGTGTGATGACTGCAGATACCAGCTCCTTACTGAGCTGTTCAGCATCAGCAGGGAAATTAGACAAGACAATGCAAAACATTGCAGTGTGGTGCAACACGAAGGGAACTCATTAGAACAGTACAGCATGGGCAGAAGCCACATCATACTTTGCAGTATGTCATCAGGGGTGTTGTAGTGTCATTAAACAATCATAATTTAATAGTTTGTGATTACTTCATTCATTTTGAGAATCTCACCTGATAAACTCAGGCCAAGATAGACAGAAATGAGGGCAAATGTAGGATTGCTGAAGCTTAGATTGAGCCAGTAAGTTGTATATTTGTGTAGTGAATTATCAGTTCAGGCTGTCGTGTTATGTTGTTTGGGTTTTTCTAATGCACTAGTTTTAAATCTATTTATCAAGGATTCCCTCTGCATAGACAGGATGTCAATATATATATAGTTTTAATACATCCATGTAAATATGTATTCCAATGACCAGTAAGAGTAAACTTCAGTTATCAGTCCATCAGCTTCTCTTTAGTTTGATCTTTACACGTTGGCATACCATCCTGTATTAAAGTCAGGTTTCAATAATTGTGAGTGTGGCTCAGCTGATAGTGGAGCCAGACTTTAGTGCAGCTGTGACTGAGTGTCTGTCAGACGGAGCAGAGACAGGCTGAGACAATTAACCATTCAGGCATTAGAGAAATTGACCCCGGTTTTAACAGCATAATATATCAGAATCATTAACACAAACATTTGCCAATTAGCTTTCTAGTGAGCTCCACATTAAAGCACTCCATATAATACTCATTAACCTCAAACCAGAATGCCTACAAAATGGAAAATAAGGAAAACGAGAGGAGTGGAAAAAGTAGTGGATTTGAATTTCAGTGGAAATGCTGCTCATGCTACTGTGGTCTCTGGTGTAGAGGAAACACACCTGTCCAGAGACATCCCCTGCTCTTATCTTAATAAATAGACAAGCCCCAGCCTGCAGCCATTATCCACAGCCCTTCATTGCTTTTGTTTACCTCTCTATCATGACTCACCTTTCATCGGGAGACTTTAAATGCTCTGGTGATTTATTAACTGTCTAAGCTACAGTAAATTATATTCATTCATTGGATGCATGAAGCTTGATGTGAAGCCTGAATGATATAAAATTTGTGGACAACATATAAAACATATTATTCATTAGATTTGAATACCCTGCTTTAGTTTTGAAGGTTATTTAAATATACACTATATTGCAGTAAATGGCTTTAAATTTCAACACACTGTGCTTTACGCTGTGCAGCAAAAATGATCCTGACAGTTAATTTTCAGAGGAAGATTTGGACTGGAAATCTTTTTTGTTGCACCTCTACATGCATGCAAGTACCCAAGATTATGGACTCCGTGCTTTGGCCGTTTGATGTTTAGGGTTTTAAGTATGTTCCTGTTACTGTGGCAGCAGTGATTCACTGTTCACCACTGTTTGACCATCTACTCATCTCTCTTTTGCAGTTTAATTGACAGCGGCTGCCAGTCTTCATTGTGTAACTGCTTCTCCACAGGCAGGGTAATGCAAATAGTATACAGTATATGACAATTTAGAAAGTATTTGTAGCTATCTGAGTAAAAGTTACAATTCTACTCATTAACCCTGTAAAGCCCAACATATCCAAAAAATAGCCAGAACATTCTAATTTTTTGGAACTGAGATGATTATTAAACCTTTTAACAATATCCAAAATAAAATTCATGATTCGAAATTCAAGATTCATGATTTTTATTTGCCATATATGCATAGACAGACATTCCAGACATATAGGAATAGAGGTGCCATATTATGTAGATTATATCTTTTGTATCACATTTGATACATGGGGCATTTTGGGGGATTTTTTTTGCTCAGAAACTTCACGTATCAAATATGATACAAATGGTTTTATAGGGTTAAATATATTCCAGGACTTGGGTAACTATAGTAAATATATATATATATACACACACTGTATATTTATAGTTTGTCATCCAATTGCAGACCAAGGTATTTGTAGGTCTGGCTGACCTCCACACAGACCCCCTCGCTACAGCTGGGGTTTGAGCTTCTGGACTTCTATCACCATCTCTTGTAGGTGGTTAGACCTGCACCATGCCACAAAGTCCTTTACCAGGCTCTTGTACTCAAGCTCCTGTCCATCCCTGACACACCCCATGATTGCGCTGTCATCAGAAGACTTCTGCATGTGGCATGACTCCATGTTGTATTTGAAGTCAGTGGTGCACAGGGCGAATAGGACTGTTATACCCCAGTTTTTTAATTGAACAGATCTTAATGAAGACGGAGTCTGACTTGCTTCATTTTAGTGCTGGTTTATTTAAAAAAGACCACAAATAAAAGTTACAGAAGCACAAACCCAGGTGGCTCCCTCCCTCAGACAAGCTGCTGGAGAAGAGAGACCCCAGAAACACAGAGCCTAATACATTTATAAGGTTTTGGGCTAACCCCTTACACAACAAGATATAAAAACATCACGAGTTGGAGACAGTCCGATGTCTCCGTCTCATATCTTATGCTCCGCATGCATCGAGCACAAGTCATAACAAAATGAAGAATTCCATGTGTGTGTATGTTGTATGCATGATGTGTAACTAAAACATTCATTCAGACATAATTCTTACACCAGATTAATACATGATTAATACAAGAAAATAACTAGTGTCAAGGTACACTAGTCAGAATCCACATTATCTTCTAACCTTGAAGCAAAGCACACAAGAGCAGACTTTGAATCTTACTAAACTGCATTAATAACACATTAAAGTCTAATAATTATCTGACTAATTTATTAATTTCTAACAGAACACAGGAGAGCACTGTCCCCTGTGGTGCTCCTGTGCTGCTGACCTCCGTCTCTGAGATGCAATCCCTCAGCCTGACATACTGAAGTCACCCTGTGAGATAGTTTGTAATCCAGGACACCAGGTGTGAGTTCACTCCCATCTTTGTCAGTTTGTCTCAGCCGCAAGGCTCAAGACTCAAGATTTTTATTTGCCATTTATGCATAAATCTAGGCATATAGGAATGCTTGTGTAGCTCTCTTGGAGTCATGTAAAGAGTTAAAAGCCAGAAAAGAACATCTAGTCTGAAAATAAAGTTACGTAAGAGTGACATATAGTATAAAAACGCATCCAAGGTAAAGACGCAAAACAAAAAATAACATAGTAGCAGGGGCTGGATGGTGTTGAGGGTACTGGAGAAGTAAAAAATATCATTGTCACAACACCATTTACCCTGTCTAGGTGAGAGAGAGACCGGTGAAGCAGATAGAGAATGATGTTGTCTACCTCCACCTTCTCCTGGTACTCAAACTGCAGCGGGTCGGGTGCCTGGCGGATCTGGGGTCTGAGGTGGTGTAGCAGCAGCTGCTAACAATAATACTGACATTATTTTCTAATGTTAAATTACACATATTTATTATAGCCATTTAAACATGCTCAAAGTACCGTTATTACTGTAAAACTAAATTCCAAAATGTCAACGTTTCAGTGACAGGTCATTGTTTGATGTAATGACCTGCAATGGCCACAGGATGGCACTGTGGCTTTATCTATAAATCCACAGAGTTGTTCTTGTCTGATCAGTACTAAAACTTTGAGGAAGTCTGAGATTCCCCAAAGGAAACCATGAAAGACAAAGCTGTGAACGCTGGAGCTGAGGCGATTAAAAAGAAACGCATGACTTTAAAAGAGCTGGTGTTGTGATCTTGTTTCTTGTGATCCATACATATTGAGCAAAGAGAGAGTGATGGTTGCGTGGGGACTGCAGCACCTCAGTGGCCCTGATGAATGAAGATGCAAATACAGGGAGGGGGAAGTTAAAGCCGTTAGTGACACTAAGCAGACTCCAGAGGCCCTGATGCAGAATGCTCAGCCTCAGCACATCAAGGACGCCACCCCTCTGTTTGAGTGCTCCCTTGGCGTGCATCTCATTCCGTCCATCTACATTTTGATTCAGACAGACACTTGGCTCCTTATGCTGAGATGAGCCAATGACAAGAGACAGATGTGCCCTCCTCAGAGAATCCTGTTTGATAAGCTGCTGCTTCACAAAGTATTAAATAACCCAAAGAAACCATTGAAGGAAAAAAGCCCTATTTTACATGAGAATGAACACCCCTGGAAAACGTACCCTCACACACTGGCTTCGCCTCGGCTGTAAATGTCAATTTCATGTCAGATTCTTTCTCTGTTCATCCATGACGTCTGTGATTGCTTCATCCCTTTGCATGAGAATGGCTTAAAATGAACACTGGTCTATTTTGGTGCTCAGAGGTCTGTAAATGAAATGCATCTTAAAGGACCAGGTTGCAGACAATCACAGGGTATGGAATATAAACTTGTGCACTATACTGCATTTTCTCAAGTTGTACAGTGTGTCTAAACAGGCTTGAGGCATTTCTATAATTTGAGAGAAGCTTCCTGGTGGGACCTTGGCTGTGCTAAGGAGTGTCGCAACCGTGATGCAGGACCCATGTGGCATGCTGTTTCTGGAAGTCATTCAGGCATACGGTACTCTGGCTTTCCCCTCCAGTGGTTACAGATACACAGGTGAGTCCACAGCAGGTGAATCTGTCATAGGCAGCACCAACAGGATGCTAACAGCCAGCAGGGGGAAACTGAAGGACAGAGGAAGTTTTGTCGCAAAGCGTTCTGCTGTGCCACCGATGAAGGTGAAACACAGTGTTGTCTTAAGTCACATGATCAGAAGACAAAGTGTTACAAAATGTTTATCTAATATGTTACTGGTTTTACATTACATGCCACATAGCTTCAAACAGATTGTCTTCTCCAAATTCAAATCAGGAAGCATGTGTTGGGTTATGTGAAAAAGAACAAAAGAGTGTCTCAGTATAATATTAATACAGAAGCAGCGCATGCAGTGAGTCTCAGATTATTTACAGTAGGTAATAATCAGAAACTTTCCAGCTGGATGAATTATATCGAAGACCCGACGCTTGTTTCACTTTTGTGACATACACCGTTTTCAGTGCACATGTCCCAGGTGCTTCAGAAGGCATTTGTTGAGTTAGAATTTGGATGTATTACAGATAAACTACATGATCAGCACATAATTATAGTATAAGTAACAGTACAAGAGAATTTCACAGTAATTTAATGAATATCAACCTCCAGTCACAACAAACATGAAATGACTCATGAAATGTGACATATCAACCATGAACTTGAATAATTTTACTTTCTTACTCTCCTGTATTGCATAATAACATCTTCTGAACAAAATTTGCACAAACTTAACAACAGGCTTCTTGGACTTTTGTTGCACTCCTGAGACTGAAGCCTTGAAAATCAGAGAGATGCTGTAGTACCTCAGACTTGAGGAGCTGCTGTACGTTTTACAAGCCACCACATGTCACTTTCTTAGCGTTTTCAAATCTTTTTATTTTTATTTACATTTATTTTTTGGGCATAGATAGAAAGAAAGCCCAAAAGCTTTATGAGGCGTCGTCTACCATTCACTAGTCAAAACTCACATCCACGCCCCTTTGGCCTTTTAGAGCATTTCTCATACACTTCTGCTTGGCACTATAATTTATTTAAATGTTGATTTATGAACTAATTGTCTGTAATTGCTGCTTAGTGCCATTGTTAATCCAAACTGTCTCCCTCCTGAAGCACATTAGGCCAGATTTCTATAATGAAGTAATTACTTCAGTTGCGAGGGTGAAAGCAGGAAGAGTGTAAGAAAGTGGGAACAAGAAGCTCGAAATACTCCAGTGCCATTTCTGCCTTGCTATTATGAAACTGTTTGTCTCAACAGAGAAAGTGAAAATAGCCTGGTTGTGAGCAAATGCTTTTCTTAATTAAAAACCACACGTCAGCAAAGTTAATTTGAATCTTCTAACATTACCATTTTTATTCTGTTTGCTTTACGATGCCAGGTTTTGGACCTGTTCCGCTGCAGCTTGTCATATTAGGCTATTTCAGCTGGCTAACCATTCTCACTGCTTCACACCTTCAGAAAATATAACTCTGTGTTCTCTGTTTGGCTTCTATCACCCAACAGAAGCTGCCATCACAACCAAGTGTGCTCCATTGTCTGCTAGCATTGTCATTGTTATTAGTCTTTTGGATTGCCTGTGGAGGTATCGGCAGGCTCCCGGGGAAGCAGGCGCGAAGCTGGATAATTAGTTGGTGCTCGATGCCAGACGGGCACGTTGCCGTCACTTGGAGGGGAAATGGAAAGTGGCATCAGTATCACAGTAACACCGGAACAACCTTTGTTGTGAGGGCTGGGTTCCAGTGCATCTGTCACACCATTAGTCATCTACCCACTGGCAAGACAATAGTGCTTACCAGTCTAGCAGTACACAGCGTGGAAAATGACTTTATCTGAAACTGCATTATTCTTGTCATATTTGTCATAATTAGTCATGGTGTGATGGAAGTGATACCGAGTTTCTCTGTTGGTTTTGCTGCTCACTGTAGCCAAAGGTTTAGACAATTTAAATCCTCGATTAAAGAGAAGCATCCGAAAAGCAAATGATCAGCTTTGTCTTTATTCATGTATGAATGCCAGATGTGGTTGTTTATTTTTACAGCTTCCTTGGCAATTTAAATCCATAAAATGCTAATCTGAAGATACATATTCCAACATCACATCCCCAGCAAGGAGGTTATGGTTGGAACTGCTGGTGATGGCTCTGCTGGTTTCTGTGGGAGATGTGGATGATGACGAGGAGGGTAAAGACCCCAGCGAGCAACGTGCCTCCAAAGCCCAGAAGGATGCCGTACAAGAGCGGCAGAGCTACATGCAAAGGCCCCTTCTGGTACGGAGGGACAGGTGCCCGCTTCACAATCAAATCCAGGTCATTCCAGGTCAGATCCCTTACTAATACACACACAAACACACATTCACACACAGCACAAACAGGACAGACACATTTACCATCTCAAAGGACAGGGGGGAGCATTTTTGTCAAATTTGAACTTGAGTAAAGCACCCAGGAGACTCAAAACAATGGACAGGTGATAATTACATTTTTGAATTTCTTGGTGTCTTGGGAAATGCTCTACGTTTAGTGAGAGTGTTGGTGTTGAGAAGTAATGAGTTGGAAGCGTGCCCGCAGCCACTGAATCTAATCCGACATCTCATCTAAACACTTAATAGATTCAAGGTTCAGTGAAACATTATATCATTTGTCATTCAGACAGTCACCAGAGGGATAACCCAAAAATCTCTTCTTGACATCAGTAGCCCAAGATATCTGGGCTTAGACACGGCTGCACATGTGAAGAGTCAGCTCTTCATCAGTGATTCTAATATATAATGTACCACAGTGATGTGAGTGGTCATACCTGTTCTTTTTCGGGCTGCGTGCTGGTGGTCTTTTTCATCAGATTGGATTGATGGTATGTTTAAAGACTGCACATATCTGTGATAATCTTCAACATAACGTTTCAGACTCAAGATTTTGTCCTGGTTGATGTTCTGCCCCACTTCTGTAAAAGCACAAACATAAAAGTTTTCTCTGTCACTTCAACTCCTACAAGTGTACATATTCCCTTCTATCAAAGGCTGTGCGTTTGAATGGAATTGTTGTTTTTGTTGTTTCTTGTCCCAGATATAGTTCTGGCAGGAGAGCAACTGCTGTCCTTCAGAATAAAACAAAAACAACCAGTGATTTCCACATATTAGTAGAACAGCAGAACTGCAATCAAGTGTAGAATAATTGCTGGATTCTGCATTCATACAGTTTTTTTTTCCATCAAAGCCCCCCCCCCCCCCGTATAACCATTTTCTTCCCTTCCTGTCCT